TTTCTCCCTGCAAGTGCAACTTTCAGGCTCGTCATCTCTCCTCTCTCTCTCTCTCTCGCTATCTCGCAGCACGTAACCCCGCCATGACCTCGGCTAACGAGCGTTCTCTCCGCTCTGGACACGTACCGACATCGCGACCCGACGATCGCGCCAAAGCATCCTGCATACGTGCTTTGGACCAGTTCCTGGCTAATGGCAATTCTTGCAATACCATTCCTTTTCCGCCTATTCGACCCAGGCAGTTTGTCTTCGCGATCGATATCGACAATGGACGTTTTCGTTCTAACGACGATCGCTACTCGGGATGACTTGGTCTATGTATCAGATAAAAGCAAAATCAATTCAATTTGGCCTTTTCGAAATGAGTTTTATGAAATATTAGCGAGCTTACGGTATACTCGGTTTTGCAAGTATGCTCTTTCTCAACATCGGCATTCCCTTGTTTCTCTTTGGCGTGAATCGATGAATATCTATCGGCCTGTTAGAAATACAATTATATCAGGGCGAATAACGTAAGAGTAGCTCTTGCATTTATTTTAACGTCGGATATGCCGTTGCAGCTGAAAAGATACATTGAATAACAATGAAGAATGATCAAGATAAAAATCTATCGAGCCTCGAGTAAACAATAAACAACACTTGTAAATTGCAGCTAGCATGAGAAGGTATAGCATGTCGTGTGCGCATCGCATCAATTAACCTTTTCTCTGCACTGATGCATTCGTTGCGGCTCCAATCGACTCCACTGGAGTTTAGATGGCGGGAAAGCCCACCGAAATGAAGCACGAAATCGAGATATCGAGTGCGAAAACGTTGGCCTGCGCCAACCATCGACTGCACCATCGACTCCTCGGCCGATCGACATACGCCCGTTGACGATGTCAGGCAGCGTAAGCAGCGCGTATTCCACTCGTGAATCCGTCCAATCGGGGAGCGAAAGCCTAGATAAGCAAAGAGCTCGGAATGGCGAGGCGTTTTATTAAAGCCAATGCCAGATCAGGATTACCGATGGCGAGCGCGACGAGTCTCGTGCGACGCCCCGGCGAATGTCCATCGAGCGTTAAAAGCGCGCCGCTCTCGCGAACAGTCAGCCGGCCCCTCGGAATAATTCTTTGGCGCGTTTGGACGCGGTACGAAGAGGACGAGCACGCCCGAGATAGAGACGCTATTCCAATGACGTTCGCGACGCGATGGCGTGTAGCTCATTGTCGGTGAGCGAGAGGCGAACCTGCATTTTCCCACGCAGCTGTACGCGCACGCAGCTTGAGCCGCGCCTCGGACTCCAATGGCCCCTCTCGGCTTGGCTCCTTCGTCGATCGCCGCCATTGTCGCGACGGATAGAAAAATCGCGAGAGCTGGCTGTCTATGCGCGTGTTCCGCTACACTGTCTTGTCTTATTATTGACTTATTATTGAGCGAACTTCAATTGGCATTGTTAGTTCTGGAAATTGGATGGATTTCTAATTCAGTTGCGATTCTTTCGCCTAGCTAATGTTGTCAAATACAGAGATCGACGAGATGGCAACGCACTCTTTTTCGGCCTTGATAACGTTTCACCAAAAAACGAACTTGCTTTGGCACGTCAACTTGAAATTGGTGGAGTAAGCCGACATTTGCGGCGCCAATTAATCAATAGCAAAGGCCTGATCGCATACCCCGGTAAAAAGAGTTTAATTTCCCGTCGCTTTTTCCAATGCGGAGAGAGGGATAATTTGATACAGACAGCTCGCTCTCGCATGATCGTTCTGGCGCGCGAGCGGCAGAAACCCACATAATAAACGGAAATCAAGGCAATAAAGCTCGGCGCGCCGTGCCGACGACGGAGAGAAAAAAGCAGCCCAAGCAATATAATCCTTGCCCTCGGTAAATCAGACGCGAGTCGCTTTTTGTTGGGCTGGATGGGTCGTCCCGTTGTTTGCGCGCGCAGCAAACAAAGACAGTTTGCTCGGTCGATCCTGAAAACACGAGGAACGTCGATGAGCAGAAGCGTAGCCAAGAGAAGCTTGCAGCAGCTGGCCGTCGACTGTCCAGTCGCCAACGGACCGCGCGAGGTTACAGCTAATGCCGCGCGTTTCCACGCGGACGAGGAGACGAGCACGCGCGAGTTCATAGCGAATGTGCTTAGCGTCCATTCGCGTACGCATAGGAGCGTGGTCAGGTGCGCGTGCGCTGCAAAGACGTTTTAATGGTATGCCGAGACGCTGCCGACAAAGAGGGCGGGCAGCTGTGTTTTACGATAGACGGCTGCGAGGCTATGCTAATCGTCGCGTTTTAGGGCTTGGCCCAACGGCCAGATAAATATCACTTTTAATAAAGTTGTAAATAAAGGCAGAAGGGTATAAAGTGGGACAGTCGCGGGCTTGCGCCAAGGAGCAAACACTTGCCTTTAATGTCCGCGTGTAAATTACGAGATTTTTGGCGCGCGCGTTAGCTCGGCTAAATTACGGCGACAATTCGCTCCTCTCGGCCTGTGCGCTACAACGCGCTCCGTAAATTCAACGCTGAGCTTCGTTAACTGTGCGTCGCGCCCCTCGATCTTCCGTTAGACGGACACTCGCGATCGCCTCTCGGCGCCTGTCCCGGAGCCGCCGCCGCCGCCGCCACGAGCAACCAAAAGACGGCATCGAACTTTTGCGAGTATCGCGGCGTCGGCCCGTGCGACGGACGATCTTTAACGTTGTTTACCGCGCAGGAGCGAAACCTTGAGCCGTCGTGAGGCGGCGACGGCGATGCGTCGGCGCGTCGGCGAGCCGCGCGGCCTTCTTTCGCTGTGAAGCAATACGCGCGCGCGCGCGCGCGCCTCGAAGGAACGCGCTCCATCGTCGGCCGTTGATGGATGTTGTGCAGCTTGACGACGCGCCGAGAGCACGTCCTTCGACGAGCGAGGCGGGCTGTTGCGTAACCTAAGCTGCCACCGCTTGGCGCGTGCGAGATCGATCGCGGCCGAGCTAATTAGACGCACGTAATTGTATAGAGGCGATTTTCTACGGCTGACCGCGGCGACGCACTTGCTTCTACGTTGGCCAGCGACGAGGGGAGAAAGGGAGCAACGGGAGGCTTTGATTTTGATCGCGCTACAACGCGCTTTTTTCCTGCTTTTTTCTGCTCCTTCTCTACCGGGAAAAGAAAGTTCGCGTTGCTCGTCACGCCGAGAGAGCGCACTTATAAAAATTATACTTTCGCGATGCCTCCTTCTCTGCCTCTGTAATAATCTCTCTCGCGATGGTTTATTCATTTGGCGCGTCGATGCGCGGCCAGAGTGAGAGAGACGAGGAGCCGGGCGCGTGGCGGCGGTGGCATCCGAATGGAGCTTTGCACAGCTGTCGACGCGAGCACGAGCTTTCGGCTGCTGGGCAGCGGCGGCCTCCGAAGTGCTCGGAAGTCTTGGAAAACTTACTGGCCGGCTCCAGCGCACGTTTGCCAGCAATTGCGCAAGGACTGCACGCGCGATAGCAATGGAACGAACACAAAGCTAAAGCCGCGAGGAAAGTAAAAGGCCGCGATATAGTGTCGTGGGCAGGGCCGGGCCATTCGATGCAACCGGAAATTCAGCTGACTGCGACGCAGAAAGAGAGCGACACACATATTTGTCTCTCTTGATTTTCCGGCGCACGCGATGCACTTTCACGCAGAGGCCGCTAGGAAAAGCCAACCCACGGAGTTGAGACGTTCACCGGCAGCTGCGATTTCGCTTCGAGCTGCAGCAGTGCATGCCCTTCTCTTTTTCGCGCCGCTCCACGCTGGCACGCCGCTGTATATCTGTGTATACGTTCAAGTGGGAATGCTTAGTCTGCTGCTCTGCTGCAGATTTCGGAAATTCGTCGATGGCGAAATTCGGCTTGCGGAGGAAGTCTGCTTAGATGAGGATGGACTCGCCGCAAGCCTCGTAATTGCTGCTAAAGCCCGTAAACGAAGCCGTCGCCCGTATTTTTTTTCTTCTCTCGTTCCTTTCTCCTACTTTTCTCGCCAGACTGCATTATCCCATTTTCCCATTTTCCCATTTTCCCATTGTATGTTCGTCTACGCGTGTCTCGTGGCCTTGCTTTGCTTTCGTACTAGACCACTCGACCGCAATCGCCAATTAACTTTCGATTAGCAAAAAATAAGGAGATATTCGCATTTGCAAATCGCAGCCCATTAGACTTCTGTGGCGTCTCTTAGACGGCCATGTAACTGGTGCCTCGATCTTTCATACAGTACACTCAACTAATTTCCCACGCAACCGGACAATACTTTTGAACGGTAATTCGCTCTTGTCAGAAATCACACTCTCACGCTTCCTATGTACGCGCTTTCGTAGCCTTCAACCAAGCCTATCGCGTCGAAGCATCCTCCCGAGTAGAAAGGACATATTGGCCGTGATTTGCACGAATCAAACAAAGCCATCGTAAAGGATGAAAAAAGGAGCAATAAAACCGCGCCAAGGACTCGGCGTGATAGCTTCTCTATTGTAAATACCGTCTCCGTCTCACTCACGAACAACTCTCGCGCGAGTACGCACAGCTATTGAGCAGTCCTTTGACGTCACGCGTACGTGCGCCAACTAGGCAATGTGTCCTAGCCGTTCGAGAAAAATTACTCTCACTTGTCGCAGGTTTGTCAATCCAACGCGACGCACCGCTCGCACGCCGAATGCGCTTGTGCTTGCCGCGTGGAAATTCAATTTTCGTCGCAATGCATTTACCAACCATTGCGTTGGCTGTTTCTTTCCAAGTCGTTCAATTTTCAATTTTTCAATGGCAACGCGATAAATACCAATTGCGAGCGCTGGATAGCAATTGCCTTCGTCGATTATTCATGTGGAAAATCGTCGAAGCCGGGCGTCTACGTGTCCGCGGAGGAAGTATTAATTGCACGGCAGTGAATGGTTGAACAGAAACGAGCCGCAGTGCAGCCATCAGAAATGAATCGTGCGCAGCGGATCAGAGCGAAAATGCCCGAGGGGAATTGGCCCTCGCTGGGAAAAAACGCGTGCGGAAGCTCGCCACGGCGATACCAACCTGCGTCGGCGTTCAACAGCACGATCGGCACGAGTCCTCGCTCGGCAGCGGCGCTAGGCAACTGCTTGTCGGCGGCGAACACTGCTCCGAGCACGAGCAGCACCAGCACCAGCAGCAGCACTCGAATCTGCGCCAACATTGTCCTCTCTTCGACATAGCATCACATTTTCAAGCAAGAAAAAACGAGCTTCGCTGGCACACGAACGCCGCTGGCAATGGGACCGCGAGAACAATAATAAAACGCAACAGATCTATTTTCGAGCCTCAACTACTAGCAGCGAACACGAAAGTGCATTAGAACGTACGAGAGCACCTCGTGCACAAGTCCATGCCGCACTACTGTTGTAACTGTGTTGCTGCAGCGATCCTCGGGTGTTTGTATTTTAGCAGCCGACCGCGCGTTCAACTCGCAGCGCTTCGCTGCGGCCTTTCACTCAACTATAGTTTCCTTGCCGACAATGCCGACTGCTCAATGACGGCTCGGCTCGGCAGGCTTACTTGCTTGGACCTGCTTGGACTTGGTCCTATGCTATGCAGTGCCTAGCTGTCACTTCACCAGTCGCCAGCTAGCATTGTCTGCCTTTATTTACATTCATGGCTTGTAAAACAAACTTCCAACTTTTATAATTATTGCTACTCGATCAATATAGTTCAAATACATTATCTCCGTAAGTTTCATGTGGAATAGTATCTCAGTACATGAAGATTGCTAAAACCTTTCACATGGCCAAGTTTTTTATTCAATCGAAATCTAATGCGAATTTACTATTTTTTTTTATCAATTCTTGCTAATTTATTGTTATTTCTTACGTAACAATGTGCATCATACCTAAAAAATGTATTTGAAACTAACATTTTCTAGAAACCAGTATCCAAGCACGTGCACTCAATCACAAGCGTGTAAAAACGATTTTCATTTATGAAAATAAGTAAAGATATACATATAGTAATTCTACGTGCTATCATTCCTCGAAGCGAAGACAACATCTATTTTTATTTTGAGTAAGATAAAGAGCCAGATACTTGAAAAAAACACATTGAGCTAAGTTTAAATTATGAAGATTTAAAAAAATACCATTATTATTGACATTTGCAATCACAATTATAAATATCCAATTTAATACTATGATTTTTATTTAAAAGCGTTTATATTCTGCTAAAAGACTGCATTGCTAGTTCAGTCGACTCTATTCGGTAAAATATCTACAACCAAATGTTAATGAACATATATTATTATTGTCTCACATGCCTTGTATACTAAAAAGTTCATTAGGGTACTGTATGAAAATACATAGCAATAAGATTCATAAACAGGGATGATTATACATACTTTCCACTATTTATTTATTTGCTTAGATTCATTGGTAGGACGCTAATGAAAATAATAATTTAAATGTGAAAAGGTATTCAATGATAAAGCAATGCTCTATTTTTACACTTTCGCGCTTTCAACTTACACTGCTTCCAACGACCTTTCGCCAAACTATCCTGGTTACTGACAGTCGAATGACAGTCTTTCATAATTTTTTCTGGAAGTGTAGTTAGTAGTACATACTACATAGTTGCCATTGCCATCAGATTGATGCACTCTATGCATGCAGTCATGAAGACGTATATATTTCCATGGTATGTTCTACTATAATGGTGTTGAACCTAGTTGGTTGAACGTTTGAAAACATAACCTTGGTGAATTTGGCGGCAACAAGCGGGTTGCTGTTTGCTTCAAAAGATACAAGAGGTTCGTCAACGTTGCTTCAATGCTGCGAGCATCATGTTCATTACAAATTTACAAAGGGAGTTTTACCAAGAAATACATGGGAAAGTTAGTATTCAGTGATCGATACTGAATGTTTGCATTTGTAGTTTTACTGCCGAAAGCACTTTTTTTTTGTTTACCGTGATTACGTGATGATTCTGCGATATTTTTTTCATACAGTTCAGATGCGTTCAAGACAAGTTACTAATGTTTAATTATGTTTGTTTTTAGCAAATTCTTCTTCTAGTTAATTTTGATGTTGATGCCATTTGTGCTTCCAAAATATTACAAGATTTGTTTAAACATGACAATATTACATACACACTTGTGCCTGTTCAGGGTATTGAGGACATGGTTCATGCATATAAAGACAATGCAGAAGAGGTAAGTCATAGCTTTGTAAATAAGATTCATAAATTGGCCTGCATTAAGAATTTAAAATAAATATTTACTTTCTAGATAGCATATGTCGTAATGATCAATTGTGGTGGAATGCTAGACATTGTTGATTTATTAGAACCAGAGGAAAAAGTAACTTTTTTCATTCTTGATAGCCACAGGCCTTATGATTTATGTAATATCTATAGTGAAAAACAAGTACAAATTCTTGGAGAGCCACCTGAAGATGAAAAAATACAAATACCAGAGTATAATGATGTCTTCAATGATGAATCTGTAAGTTATTTAATGACATTTTATTACCATTGATATTAATTTTATTGGCATGGTATTATTAATTGACATAATTTAGTCAGACGAAGAAGACAACTTGGATGATCTTTCAGATGATAAAAATGAGTCAGTTCAAGCCAAGCGCAGAAGATTACAAGAAGCCCAAATTATTAAAAAAAGACAACGGCGGGAATGGGAACAAAAGAGAGATGAGCTTATGTTTAATTATTCGCAATATAGTTACTATAGCAAATCAGTATGTATATAAACTGCTTGTAAGCAGTGTTATTGACTTTTTACTTAAAAATTATTATTTATTTTTTAGAGTGCTTTGACTGCATATGAAATGACATGGCAAGCTTCCAGAGACAGTTTGGATATGATATGGTGGGCCATTATTGGATCTACTGAACAGGCTTTGTTAAATAAAGTAGAATCTACTACCAATACTCTGGACACTGGTTTTCTACAAGGTCATGTTTCAAGATTGAGTCATGCCAGAAGAGGAGATGGAAATGAGAATCAAAAGAGCACAATGAAAATCACATTTGAAAAAGAGTATCCTTTCTTAAAATTTTTCACTTTCAATTTACATATCTAATTTAAACACCAATTAATTTCTTAACATATTTGGTTAATTAGTTTAAAATTAGCATTGTACCATCACTGGACTGTTGAAGATAGTCTGAGGCATTCCATGATAACATCAGTCGCATTACGCCTATGGTCAATTAAAGGAGAACAAAAAATGAAACAACTCTTAGCAGAAATGGGGCTACCTCTTGATCAATCGAAGCAACAATTTTCAGCTATGGATTTAAATCTCCGAAATGAATTTAAAGATATGGTTGAAAAGATAGCTGATAAATACGAAGTAGGCAGTGTTATTGGCGCTAGTTTCACTTTGCATAACGGCTACAGATTTAAATATTGTGCTTCTGATGTTGTTTACGCAATGTTGGCTGTGATGGAATCAACAGTAAGCATTAATTTTTTATTGAGCTTGCAAAATCATTATACCAATAACGCAAATGAAAATGTTATATATTTGTCCAGTCAAAAGAACGACCACCAAAGTTATGTTTTTTAGAAGCATCTAGTTGTCTTACACGTACAAATAAGGATGTTTTAGATAAAGCAATAGAAAAAGCCAAAACCATGCTTGTACATATTTTTAAAACTGCTCAAAGCATTTTGGAGCTAAAGCAAGTGACGAACGCTGGCGCATATCTGTACATAGTTTTATCAGACAGCATTTTACATTGTCATATGTTCTCTCATCCCCACACACTTCTGATGTTGGCACAATTCACATTGAGAGCTTATGTCGCATCCTCGAGAAACAAATACAAAGCCGCTTCTATACCACTCGTTGCGTCTGCGACATACAATGAAGAAAAGAAAACGTGCCTCATTGTTGGTATACCTCCTGTATCCGAAGAACAGCCTAGAAGGTATGTTTTATCTTTTGATAATTTTACGCGTTAAGAAAATATTTTTCATTCTAAAGTTTATACTTTCTTTTAGTTTGTTTGGACGAGCGTTCGAACAAGCAGCTAAAAATACTAATTCTACTTTGGAAGCAGACTACTTTGATACCACAAGTAAGATCTTTGTAATTTGAAAATCTATTTTAAAAACCTATAATTAAATTTTAACTAAGTACATTTTTCTGATGTAGTTGCAAGACTGAAAATTGAAGATAGGCCTAAGTTCTTTGATGCTTTGGCAGCGTTAATGGATTAAAAAAATTTGGTCAAACTTAATTTTACTAACGAATCATGTTGGGTAAAAAAATGTGATCCATTGCATAGCTTATTTTATTACATCAACGATAGATAAGAGATTAGTGTAAGTTTTGTTAATACGTTTAAAACGCAGTTATTGTTTATCACATTGATATTTTTTAAATCGAAAAGAATTGCACGTTTCAGACATTGAAGTTCAAATTTTACGATAAAAACGAACCAACCAACGTATTGATTTTTGTTGAAAATTTTTACAAATTAACAAAAATAACTAAAATACGTACGTAACCTCACTAACTAAAACAAAGGCAACATTAATTTTTAAATATCAATTTTTTTCTTTCGTAAAATTCCTAAGTAAATTGGATAGTGATTTTGTATATATTTGATAATAATTAAGTAATGAAAATTGTTAGCATTATATAGTAATATTTCAGAGCACACCGACTGAATGAATTGTCTAACATGTCGATAATTTAGAACAAAATTAAATTCATAAATATTTAGTGTCGATGAATTGTGTATATTTCTGTGAACATAAAAAATGTCACATTAAATCCTTCATTAGAAAATTATGTAAGTTATAATAAGGAACAAATAGATGTCACTATCGTCATTCAATCGAATTGTAATTTAATATGATTTCCTTACGTAATTATGCATAAGAAATTAATACTGAATTTTCAAAAATCAAATGTATACAAAATTTTGTAGTACAAAAAGAAATTGTATTACAAGATATTTGATTTTATAAATAACATATAATAATATATAAAACTAACTACTATTCCACTCATCCTTTTTTATACAGCAGTTATTTATTCCTATAACTCATTATTTCTCATTATTTCTCATAATACCATATGATAAATAATTTTAGTTTTCGTTGTTTTCGAGTTTGATACTTTTGTACGTAGCTGGCAATTTATGAAAAGCCAATTTCTCTTTATTCGTACTTACATTGAAAAGATCAGAACTGGTTTTATTTTGAAATTAGCTCTAATTTCATTCAGGGTTGCTATGAATCAGATATATTTCAATACAGAATTTTGTAAATGAAGGTATAATAATGAAATAATTGAAATAACTATAAAAGACAAGTGTGAAATAACCTAGTTTGCTGAATTTTTAAATAAGAATTTATGTAAAATATCATATTGGATACAGAAGGAGTGTTACTTTGCCCAGCTGAAAATAATCTTGTACGTGTATCCATGCGCAAATGTTATTAAAACATGAATATACAAAAATCTCACATTGAATTCTTCATTAAAAATATGAATTTTAATTTGTGTCGTCGTTATTCAGCAAAGTTGTGATATTGACATACACACTTTACATCTGCATAAATAATTCACCAAATATACTAAGGAATACTTTGCTTCAAATTTTATCTAAAAATTTATTTTATTTCTATGGTAGTAATATCTTCTACTTATCACATGAAATAAGTAAGCCCAAACATAGTAGAGATCAGTCACGCTTAGACCAGTCAACAGCCGGAAGAGTACTCGCTCCTAATATCAAACAATGTTGAATTAAATACCACTCCGTCGCTTGCTGTTAGTGCTACCCCAATAATACTACAATAAGCGTCAATAGGTGCACTGATTGAGTGAATTTTCAATTAATATAGGAAAAGAGGAAACACATCTGTTCAGTACCAATGAACCTTGTATATTTCTGTCTGCATAAAAAAATCTCACATTAAATTACTCATAAAAGAATTACTTAAGTTACAATTAGTTCTAAATTTTTAATATAACATTAAGTGCCTACTTAATTGTGTATAAGAACTTAACACTAAATGTTTGGAAATCAAAATTATAAAAAAGATGACAATTCGAAAAAGAAATTGAATTACAAGATATTTGGCTTTAACATGAATACAATCTACCATTTCATTTCCTTTTCTTTTAATGAGCGGTTGTTTATTTTTGTAATATATTAATAGTAAATTTATTTATTGTATCATTGTTTAAATCACTCTTTTTCCAGTTTTTTTTTCTAATATTCTTCCTGCACATTTCATCAACAAATATATAAGTTTTTCATCAAAACTTGGCCTACTCAAAAATAGCTAGACTTGATAAATATTTGTTTGAATCTTAATTTGAAGATATTGAATTCATTGAAATAAAAATGTTTCGGCATGCAGAAACATTTTTAAATTTACAATCGTGTTAAAACATTAACGACTACATTGACGCGTAAAATTTTAGAGACAGACTTTGAATTGAAGTGTTTCTTGTTTTGATTTTGCATTGGCGAAAAAGTACAGACATTTATCATAATAATGATTGACTTATAATTAAATATTGAAAGGCAGTTTTATTAAATATTCCGATTTATGCTGAAAGGCCTAGTTTTCAAATAAACTCTCTTGATTTTCCTCATCGATGATTTTCGTTAACAGTAACGACTCGTAACCGCAACCAGAGTTGCTTTTTTGCTCATCTGATAAAATAAAATATGGTTGCAAGTTTAGTATATGAATATTATCAAATGGAAACGCTATTAGCCACGAGGATCCATGGAATTTGTGTACTTGTAACAGCTACAGACAAAGAACAATGAAAAAGTTATACCGATGGGAGAGCAACACGAATAATATAAAATCGCAAATACTAAAAGATTATGATAATTGCATCGATTAAGTAGCGCTTTGTACATACAACATAAAGAGAGGGTACTGCGTGCATTTGCCGCGATTATCACATAAAGACAGTATCGTTAAAATGAGTATCGTTCTCGAACTGCTTTCGATATTTCACTCGGGTTTGACGTTTTTATGCACAGCTGCAATTTTGTTGGTTGTCAGTTTGTCATTCTTGTAACCTTCTACAAACTTCTGCACCGACTCGACCGTGATTTCTGCGCCGTCCTCCATCACTGCATAAACTCCTCGAGGTATGTCGATAGCCGTGAGCAGTGGAACCGCATCGTCAAGACTGACGAATTCCCGTAATATGTCCGAAGTTTCACACTGGGAAATATGAAAAAGCAATACTCTAAGAAACTGGTGGTTGCCGCACCCTCGAGCAAGAGAAGAAAGTTACAAGGCAAGTATGTACCCTGTAGCTCTCAGGGACAGCAAGTAGCGCACGCGAATAGCAAATTAACTTACGTCGAGTGCTATGTAAAACTGCAGCGTGTCGTCTGGATCGTCGAAGTTAGGGTCGTAGTCCGGCCGGTCGCGCCTGTACATCTCGGCGGCCGGCAAAAGAACGCTCTCGCCAAATTGTATCTCGCAGTCTTCACCCTCTTCGCACACGTACCGCACAGCGCACACAGAGTATGAAAAAAGAGCGGTGAGCGAGAGGGAATAAGACAATATATATACGATGAAAGAGATAGTAAGTTTTGACTTACCGACAAACAGGATAATGGCTGGGGCGTCGTGCAAAGATGTCGCGTATTTCTCTGTGAGGATGTTCACCAGTCGACTCGTCCATGGGAAATTCTAGACGCATCGACACAAAGCCAAACAAAGATAACATTTTATTGTAGGCTTTGTAGGGGAGCTTGAGACTTTAGGACTGATATGTGATATGGATTTTTTTCTGAATCTTTCAAGATTTTTTTTGTGCCGAGTTACAAAGCCTAACTTTACTGATTATAACGGAACGAGCAAGTTCAACAGTCATTTTATTTGGTATTTAATAGTCTTTTCCACAACATCTCAGCTTTCTTTGCGATCAATGGAAATAGAAAATTACGACGCTTAAAGCAAAGCTTTGGTGACTTACATTATTCTGATAGAAAACCGTAAAATTATCATAAATTGAAGGGTAAGATAAAACAAAAGTTGCCTAAATAGCGTTGGTAGGCAAAGTTATTAGAGACGCTGGATAATCTTATAACCCCAAATAAAGCGATTTACCATAAAAATGTTAATTCTAGGAGATCCCCGAGCAATTTACATGCGCGAGCCATATAAGAGAGAAAGAGAGAGAAAGATATATATAAAAAAAGAGAACGAAGGCAGACGGGGTAGTCAACGAAACGCGAAATAAAAACAAATCACGCACAGATCGTAGTCTTAACCGGATTATGTCGAGAAAGAAAGAGAGAGAGAGGGAGAGGGAGAGGGAGAGAGAGAGAGAGAGAGAGAGAGAGAGAGAGAGAGAGAGAGAGAGAGAGAGAGAGAGAGAGAGAGAGAGAGAGAGAGAGAGAGAGAGAGAGAGAGAGAGAGAGAGAGAGAGAGAGAGAGAGAGAGAGAGAGAGAGGTATGAAGAATAAAATATAGAGTCAATTCATACAAGACCCTCGGGATCCTCAAGGACCTCGGTACGGCCCTCGAGGGTGATTATGTTGTCGCGTGGATCGAGAATGACCAGAGTTGGTATGGCTTGGACGTCGAGGGCTCTTGCCAATTTCTGCCGCCTTTCCTCTTGCGCGAACGGTATTCTCAGCCAGGGCATTGTGTCTGTGTAGGTCTTATATGATTCTTCACTCCTGTAAATCATCAGATAAGAGAATTAAAATAATTCTTTGAATTGATAATCGGATTCAAGAATCGCATATCGGTCGAGTACTTTTCAAATGGACATCTATTTTGGCTCGAGTCTTGAAAAGAACACTCGTTCTGGATAATTATTTGACTATATTTGTCTTTTGTCAGCAAAGTTATGAAAAAAAGCAAATGAAATACCCAAAACGAAACTTAATTGAAAGGAAAACTCAAGTAAACCACGAGGAAAAAAACGGATTTGCATAACTGTCAACTCGACTGAAAATAAATCTAGCGACGAAAAATCCTGTTGCCGTGGTCTAGAATCTTGGACGTAGACGAATTAACGAAAACAAAAGCTCTAGACGACCCAAGTAATGCCAAGTGATTTGAATTTTCTGCAGACCTTTTGGCCAAAAAGCCTTGTTAATTAATGCATTCGTTTTGATCGTAAAAAGCGAAAAAAGTTTCTGTTTTCTCTGGTGGTAGGCTCGAGCGGCGCCATTGATTTTCCACAACTTGCATATTCAGCGAGTTTTTTGCGTTTCTTTCTCTTCTTTTATGATCGCGCCTGAGACGAGTTTGCAATGTCGAGATTACAATGGAGCTCGTTTCATCATCGTCACGGTAATTCGAGTGTTTGTACTTGGCGCGCAATCCAAAAGAGAAGAACTACTTTAAAGAAAGATAAAAAAACAAAACAGCAACGATCGATCCGTTCTATTTATCTCGTGGGAACAATGCGCAGATACTTTCGAAAGTTTTTTCTTTTGGTACTCCCTTCTTTTCGTGCCAACTCGACTATTTGCACTTTTGCCCGCGCGAGCACTATCGAGAGATTCTTCGATCGTCTTCCTTCTTTTCGCATTGGCATTCTTTGCGCTCTATCTCGCGGCTGCCGGCTATTTGTCATCTAAAAATATTAAGCAGCTCGCGCTTTTTATTGCGCTCCGTCTGCGCTCCGTAGCGAATGTATTATTCATTGTTTCCCCTTGTTCCGCTTGATTTATCAAGCAATTCGAATAAATCAACGTGTTCTATCAGAAAATAAGTCAGCAATAATTCTATCTGTGGATTGCAATCTGAAGAAAAGCAAACCAACACGATTGTTATGAAACTTATTGTTAAATGACGCTAGATCTTGATGAGATCCGTGCATCCGAGCAATTTGACGATAAGACACGGAGCTTCGTATCGTCGCACGTATCAACCGTATAGATTGGCTTGGCCTATATAGGGCGCGATCGTACACGTCAACATCTCGTAAAGATAGTTTCCTCCGTTGTTACTCTACCGCTGTATGTACGAGGGATAACGGCTGAATTTCAACGAGTGATCGAACTTACCTATCCGAGCTGACGAATATCACCTCGAAGTTGTGGCCACGCTCCCTCACACGTTGGTACGTCTCTATCAATTGTGGCGTGAAAGCTTTGCAGGGTGGACACTGTGAACGAGAAACTGTGCGTTAGACTTTCGTCCGTTGGATCAGCGAAAACTAGCCTATACTTTCTATCCCAAATTTATCTATTTCAAAGAGAGAAAGAGAGAAAAAAAGAAGAAAAGACGTTGCGTGCCTCGATTTTGTAATTTTGTAATGCAATTAATATCTGGTTGCCTAACATCAATAACAGCAGTAGCGTCTAAATATTTTCATGAATCAAAGAATTAATAATTATAGAGTGTGCGATACGCATAAATATAAATATAAAATAGGTAGCAATATGCATGCGTTCGATTTGATTGCGCACAGCACGCACTTGAAACTTGAGTTTGCACGGGTCGCCCGTTTACCTGTGCTCTTCGTACCCATATTCAAATATACCTCAATTTGTCGAACCGCACAAGGGGCGCCTTCAGATTCGCTCTCGCGCGTACTCGTACACACTTGTATGCTCAAAAAACTGAGCTTTCACGTCGCTCTCGCGCATCACTTTTATCCCTCATTTGCATTTCCATCCTGTTGCATCGATCCTACTTGCAGTTTTACCGCTAGAGGGATCAGTTACTCGATCAATCATATTGCACTATTAAAACTTGATTCCATTGAAACTTGACTACTTATAATACGTATAATACGTGAACATGCACTTGACGCGATTTAAATACCAAAGAAAAACTTTCGGAAGCCTAAAATCTTCAACGTCGAGGAATTAAATACCGAGACCGCGGGGCGTGGAATTACAGCGAGGTCCGCAAAAAAGAAAACGTAGCTAACCCAATGCGCACTAAAGTAGACCCCTTTGTAGCAGTGACGTAGCTCTTCGTGCAGCATAGGTTCGTTGCTGTGGCTGCCGCCGCAAGGTAGCAGCGGACCATCTTCGAGGTTGGACTTAGGATGGGGTGGATTCCATGGGAAGCTCAGACCAGTTGGATCAGCAAGGGCACGTTCGACTCCACCCCGTGTCAACACCTGTCCCGTCGCCCCGTCCAGCAGGATCAGCGTCGGTACTCCCGCCTTTATGCGGTACCTTCGTGTCAGACGCGTCTGCAAGCATTCACAAAATTGTCACTACGATGATCTATATGTTATGTTACGGATTAATAACAATAGCTCTATAGCAGCTCTGAATAAGATAAAACGTAAAGTGAGTCAGGCAGTGATTCAATTTGCGAATTCAGCTGTAATAGCATCATCGTAACGCAATCATTTTCCTAATGTGCCAGTATATTTTGGCATGTTCATGAAAATGCTTCTTTCACTGAAAATAAGAGTAGTTAACAGAGTAGTAAGAGTGGTTAAGAAAATAACAGTTATCGTTTGATTGAATCCAAGGATTATTGGAAACTCGCTCGATCGGCCAAGTCAAAGTTGAAAAAGCTACTGAATTTTTTTCGTGCGTTAGCTCTGATTTGGTTGTTTGCTTGTACGATTGCATTCTCATTACGATGAAAAGATTCTCTGAACGCGCAAACGCCATACATGACCGAAAATACTGCTCGACATAATGGTTTTTGCCCATCTGGGTTGCTCAGATAGCGAGTCTGGCTTTCAAGGCTTGAGCGCGCTTGATTTCAGTGAAAGAGAGGCGAATTAATATACAAGAGGACTCAGACGGCTTCAGACCGCGTCTCTCTCTCTTCAAAGCAAGCAGCCGCCGTGATCGTCGTCGCCGTCGTAGTCAACTCACGACGGTTAGTTGCGGAAGTGTTTTTCTTTTGCAACATTTTTTACTCCTGCCGTATCTCCTCGTTACTTTTTTTACTTTTATGCTCGCGGCGTTTTGACGGTTTACGAACTTGTAAGCCTTTTAACGGGATTGAGTAATAATTTACGAAAAGGGATAGGAAGGCTGGTTAACTTTGTTTCTCGTTTTTCTTGCTCGGATATGCGGTGCGCGCGGCTTTTACATTTTTTGTTGCCAAATAATTTTCCGGCTGCGGGCGACTACATTTAGAGTTTGCGAGTCCGGTAGTTTGCTCTTTCGCGACAAGGCAATTAATTTTCTACGAGAAAGTGTTGTCGGGTGAAAACGTGCATAAGTACCTAAAGGAAGCTTAACGGACTGATTAGCGTAAAAATAACAGCTGATAAGCTCGCGTTCGTTGCAGATACAATGATATGTCGCACAACAAGTATTTGCTCTCTGTCTCGTAGGCACGTTAAAAAGCAATCGAATCGTTGGTCGCACAATAGGCAGAAAACGAATTTCGTTCTTATCATCCTCAACCCTTTCATCGGCGTCCATTGATCTTCTCGCCCTAACCCAGCCGCTACTGCACAATCGATCGGCCTGTCTTTCGCTCTCCCCATAGTCCCCATCCGCTTTCGAATTATGGCTATATAGCGCGGATCGGAGTCAGCTGCCGACGTAATTCGTGGCAACTTTGCACACACTCGCGCGCGCGCCTGGCGGGCCCTCCTTCTTCTACTCCGGAAGAGGCGCGCCGATCGACGCTGCGCCTTTAATGATGCACAGGCCCGTGAAACTTTGCGCCCGCCGCCGAACCTTGCACGCCTGATCGAGTTTTACCAGCGGCTGATTTACGCGTGAGATATTCCAGGGTGAGGAGAGGTTGGGTTGCGCCAGTAAACTTTTATGCAAATTACATTTGTAAGGGGATATTGGTCGATTAGACCAAGTGAGGCAGTTTTTTTATCAATTGTTTCATAATGCAAGCAAGTTTTGTATTTTTATTAATTAATTCATTATTATCACAGCCATCAATGAAGAATGAGTACGGCAGGACAACAGAGTATGCTGAAGGCTCTAACGGCGGTGTTTGTGCCATTCGCTTTGAACGTGTTGCGAGTTTAACACGGCAGAACATCATTTTTCAATTCCATTGTTAAATATTTACAATGCTTTTAGGAATTCTTGCCGAGTTCAGATCCTGCTGGGTGACATTCGTTCGCGCAAATTTTAACACTTTCAATAGGTTCTTGGCAAGCATTATGCAAAGCAGTACGGAATTTGGAGCAAAAAAAGTACAGTAGAACGGGTTTGTTGTCACGGTATGCACATAGTGAACGAAGCTTTTAACACAAAAACATTATAGTCAACGTTTGGCATTTCAATTTTTAATAAACTGCTAGTTCAAATATTGTTTTAACCGAATAGCATTTCAATTACACATTTACACATATATCCAATTTTTGCTTTGTTATCTTGGTAGTACATGTTAGTTCTATGACTTTATACAGCTAGCCAAACGATAAATTATCGGCAAATGGAAAACTGGCCGGGGACGTCCGAATTGCAAACGTACTGCAGTCACGCACAGTGAGAAGAATAAAGAAAGGATTTCAGTTGAAACTCATGTGCCCAGAGGAGCTAATTATTAAAGAAAGTGTTGGCTCCCCTATCGCCAAGCTTTCACACACATGCACGCATACATATTCCGACTGGCGAGTCTTTAAGCCCTTCTCTTTTTTACTCTCTTCGTCGACATTGTCGGTCTCGAGTTGCTAGCTGCCTACGTGCCGAGTTTCGCGCTCGAGAATTTTCCTCTCTGGCTTTGTCCGAAAGTGTTATTCAGTCTCTCTCTCTCTCTCTCTCTCTCTCTCTCTCTCTCTCTCTCTCTCTCTCTCTCTCTCTCTGCGCCCGCGCTCGAGAAGCGCAAGAGCCATGATGATAACACACAGAAGAAGATTCGAGAGAGATGCTTTTTCCATAACCAAACACGACGACGACGGCGACGACGGCGACGACGCTCACGACAGCGACGACGGCGACTCGAGTAAAAATGAAAATGACACGGCGTGAAAGGGGCTTGCGCACTGGCTGCGTGAGTGGCGTGAGCGTGCCCGTTTGTTTTTTAATGCAAGCACGTCGACGAGTTGGCATGTGTTTGCGCAGAATCCAATTGACGCGCTGGCTCGAGGTTTTTTTCCTCTCGAGCTCCGCAGCCACGTCGGCCCGCTATAAATCTGCGCGTGATTACGCGGACACAGAGAAGCTAATAATACATTCGACACGATACCTAGACTAACGCGCGATTTATTGAAGCTGCGCGCACAAAATCACTTCCGCGGCTATGCAAAATTGATCGCTCGTTTTGCCGGATTCGTGAAAAACTCGTGCGTTTAATTATTGATCAGAGCGAGCACATCGCGGATAATTACAAATTGAATTATTTGCAATGCTACCTCGTTGAATTAGCAATTGATCCATCTGGAAACAATTTCTTCCTTTTCCCTCACTCGACGCTCCATCTCATAAGCGATCAGTGTAACAGACGAGGCAAATATACGGATGGTGTAAAAAGGCAAATTCGACTGCCTCAGGGCTAAAAACGAAATTGCCACTGGGTGTGTATTCGCGCTCATATATTCGCGCTCTCGGTTGAATGCTCTGGCAGCTTCGAAAGATTCGATTTCCGTGCGATTTCATCGTCCTTCTTCCCTTTTTACGCCAAATCGATTTGTTCTGCTGCCAACGTATAACCGCCCAGTCTTTCAGTTTTCCACTGGCGACAATCGAGTCAATCAGGCTGCTTTTTTCTTGGCTAAATAACACAGCTGTGCAAGTGATGTTTTTCTTCTTTCATCGCGGATGTACGCGAGCCAAATAATGACGTACGTGCAATTATTATTTCAGTCTTATGGTCGTATAACGTCCGCTGTACAATGAAACGCCGCATAATTAGAGTCAATGGTTGTCACGTTACTCCTCCTCCCACTTGACGTAGAGAGAGAGAGAGAGAGAGCGTGGTCGTTCGAGCTCATTAAGCCAGATTGAATTTCCGAATTGTCTGCTAAGCATAAGCCCACACTGCGTCGACTGAGCCATATTATTAAAAGCATCCTGCAAAGTATTTTATAAAATGTGCTCAGAGAACAAATCGAAGAGCTGCCTATGATGCTATCCAATCAAGAAGTGTGCATTCATAAATAAATTAGTTAATTGCTCGCTGCCGAAAGAAAAGAGAACAGACTTTTTTTCTCGGTCGACACATTGTGATTATACGGATAATACTCGTCGCGACGACGCATAATCGGCTTAGCAAAGGCAAAACTCGAGCGTACTAGAGAAACTCATCGAAAGGAGAGCTGCAACTCGTGCTCCACGAGAATCGCCGGTAACTCGCGCGCGGCTTGCCAGAGAGAAAAAAGTATTGATAAAATTGAGCCCTGCGACTCGCACGCCAACATACATCTAGGCAAGTTGTTTCCCCGTCGCTCACTCGCGGCAACACCCTGTGCACTAGAGCTGAAGGACCTGTGCGCGAGGGTAAACCAGGCTGGGGGTCTCTCTCTCTCTCTCTCTCTCTCTCTCTCTCTCTCTCTCTCTCTCTGCAGTCGCTAGGTGGAAGCTTTCGCGTCAGCTGATTAAAATTTTCCTTTTACCGAGCTGATTCGTAAACGTCGCCGCAAAGTATAAACGCTGGAAAAATTGAGGTTAAACGAACGAGTCAAACGGGATGTCGTTATCCGCGCACACGCAGACGTAGATATGTAAATGAGAAGTAAAAGTTATTCACGCCAGAGATTTTCCGATGCGCTCTGTTAATAATTAGCCATTTCCATTGATGGGCGTATAATTTGCCTCGACTATATAAGACGTAGAAGATTGACGATCCACTTATTTGTACTTGGCGCAGTGAAAGCGATCGCGACGAAGAAAAAAACATCGACAGCCGCGGATGACCTCCCTTGGCCTGTTGAATAGAGGGCTCGCAACGCTCGGATGCACGCTCAATGAGGACTAGAGAGGGGGTAGAAAGGGAGTTGAGAGCAGTTTGGGCTCCGATTGGATTTGTTCTCCCTGTCGAGGCTGGGCCAGGCGAGGCACGTCGGAAGGCCTCGCGGCGTTGCGCTGCGCGTCGTACGTCCTGTGTATGCTCTCGTGTCTTTTCGCGCCTGCGTTAATTGGCTTTTCGCACCTCTCTCTGCTTTCGCGAGCTCTTTCTTATCCGGGCGTCTGAGCTACCGCTTTGGATAGCTGCCTGCCAATGATGGCTAGCTAACTTAATGGCTACGTCTAGACACCGCGATTCCGTGATCAAACGTCTGTCTTCCATTACGGCTAATTACCAGATGGATCGACTGGACTTGTGTGCAAGCAATGAGTTTGGAAAATTTAATGGTCTCGTTTGACGAGCGCGCAACCGCAACCCGTGTGTTACGCTCGATCAATGGCATTCCGTGATATCGGTGAGCGCGAGCGATTGATTGTACACATTCAATGGGGGAGGGGGCAAAGAGCCCGCAATGCATACAAATGCGTGCGGCTGAAAACGAGCAGCGAGAGGAGGCATACAATACATAAAGCAAGTTGCTCTTGTCGTGTACGCATACAGGTACGCGCCGCCTGCTATTGTCATTTCTGCTGCCTCGCTCTATCTATCTTTTTGTCACTATCTCTCTTGTAATTGCTGCCGCGATATGACGCTTCAACGGTTTCACTTATCGATCGGTGGATGTCAGCGATACCGTCCACCGGAAGAAAGAAACAATTATTTATACTGCCCTATCAATTCCTCCTTTTTCGACAACAAACAACTGTAATTACGAAAGCAAGCTAAAGTTATTGGACGATCGTACAATCTAAATGTCGATACAACTCTACTTCACCTCGATCAGGAATCAATTGACTAATTACGAAAGCGGCTTTCGTGTCCAATTAAATCTCGTAGACAAACGCCAAACTCGGGATGAGAAAAGAAACATTCCGGCAATTGGTACGAGACTCTAGAGCAGCTAAGCCGAGCGTTGACATTAAAAGGCCCGCGTGGAAGCAAAAACGAGAGCAGCCGGCACTCGAGATGTCAAAAACCCGTCTGCACGTCGCTGCCAAGTGTGCCTCTACGTTTGATTTTCAATAGAGACAGAGAGAGAGAGAGAGCTTTTCCGCCGTAACGGCACTCAAAACTCGCGAAACTCTCTCGCGCGCTCTTTTGAACGCGCAACCGCGGAAGATATGGGTCGCGCGATTTACCCTCCGGGCCTCTCTTTCCATCTTTCCATTTTCTTCGCACATACTTCTGCTCTTGCTTCTGTAAAACGAACTAATCCAGACGAAAATAGAAGAAAAAACGTAAGAGGGCGTGGGGGGAATGAAAGAGCCGGACAAATATTGAAGCCTGCGGCGTTTGTGTATGCGAGACGCTTGGCTGCTGGCGGTTCTGTTTTTTATCATCTTTTCCAGGCATGTAGCGACTAAGTAGGAGGAATTTCTTTCTCTTCCTTTTCCTTTCGAGAAAGATGCGAGTTCGTATTACTAGCAATGTCGCTTTTTATTTGGTTTGGCGGAGCCGCCCATGTGCGGCCGATTCCGAGAATTTGGTGGCCATGCACCAGACGATTGGTAGATTTGTCGCCTGAATACTAGGCGCGTCCGCTTAGTCTGCAGCTGATAATTCATAGCGGAGGGAAGGTTCGTTTGCGAGTCCAATTGCAAAAAGTTTCTCACTATAATCAAACCATTTGGCAAATGTTTATTCACGGCTTAGCGGCGACGTCTATGCCAAATCCAAATATCATCAATTCATTAAGTTTTAAAGTGAGGCAAGGCAAGGCGCCAGCCAATCTAAATTTCAAATCTAATTAGCCCGAGCTTCACCCTCTAATTGCTCCTCGGCGTCTCGCTGGCTTCGCCTCTCTCTTCGGCCAAGAAAGAGGACGAGATCCGAGCCACTGAATCAATCGACGCGAAACAAGAGTCTATCAAACCGTGCAAGGTCGACGAAAAAGCGGAGAAAAAGTTTCTTGCGATATGCCTGTTGTCGTGCAAATCAAAAAACGCAAGCCGGAGTAAAATCGAGTCCTAGACCGTGGCGCGGCTGCGAAGCTTCCCTTAATTTTCTCCTTATCTGGCGTCGACTTGGTCGTCCTGCGCGCACCCTTGCAAGTTGCGCGTCGGAAGGGAGACAGGCAGGCGGGCGGGCCCCTGTAGTCATAAATTCGACCAAGCCGGCAGAGCCAGGGCGGGAATTATACGGAGCACGTGGCGCGCTGGCGCGCGGCGGCGAGCCTCGTCTCTGGCTATACGCACACATCGATAGACGCACACATGCGTACCTACGCACGTACGCAGAGCAAACGTAGTTGGCAAAAAATGGGGGGGGGGGGGGGGGAGTGCTGCTGCTTTTATTGTCGCAGCGAGTCGTCGCACGGTATACAGCGACTCTCTGCGGAGCTCGACTGGGCAGAGGGGGAGGGATAAAATACACACCGAAATGACTTTTTGCCTTGTCGACTTTTTCTGTTCCGTGTGCGAGGCAAATGTCATTACAACTTCACATGCAGTAGAGTCTTGGCGCTCCGTCGGCAGTCAGTAGGCGGCTATGGCACAGATTTATCGACTCGTTGTATATAATGTTGCGAGAAAGATCGATAGTCATTATACGAGAGCGAGAGAGAGAGAGCAGACGGTCCGACGGCGCGCGAACAAAGAGAAGAGAGGGTGGCGGTTGATGGATGCACTGGGGGTGTCTGTTTAAATAATAGCCGCTTGCCGCGTTAATTAAGCGATGGCTTTTGAAGTGGCTGTACGTGCGGTGCGTCTGCTCGCGGCTCTACTGTCGAGAATAGAAGCAGCTCGTCAAAGGATGCAGGTGCACGCGGCTCGGCAGGCAACCAGCCGTTTCGCTTCCTGCCCTCTCGCTCGCGCCGCGCCCGCGTAGCCAAGGTAAACAAACGCAGTCGTCGATGTCGACCGTCCGCGGGCTGAGCTAAACGACTGCGGCAGCGACAATCAGCAAGAGGCGTCGAGAGGCCAGAGAGCCTACCTTGCGCTCGTAGTCGTCGCTAGGCACGGCGAGCCAAGGCAGCTCGGCCACGTGGTGGCGAAAGCTCTGGCCCAGGTCCAGCACGTCCTGCACGTTAGTCCAAAGCACCGCGTGTATCACCTCGAACCTGCTGCTGCTCGGCTCGCCGTCGGCCACTCCGTTCTGCTCCTCCCTGGCGCTGCCGTTGACGCTGGAGTACAGGTCGACCAGGCGACGGGTGAACTCGTCGCAGCTCGCGGCCGGATCGACGAAGCTGAAGTACAGGCCGAGCACTTGGCAGTGCTGCGTGGCCTCGTGGCTGAGCAGCCTGGCGTCCGGCCGATCGGCGTCGCCGCAGCGCACCAGATGCTTGCCGAGCAATCGCTGCTGCCAGGGCTTGCTGCGGCTGCTGCTGCTGCTGCTGCTGCTGCTGCCCGTCAGCTGCTCGGACCTTGCCATCGCGGTCGGCTTGTCGTCGCTGCCGGCCGAACAAGCGGCCATGACGACGCACGGCGCGCGACTGCCCGCCTGACGCTATCCGGCGCGTCGCGCTAGAGCCAGACCAGGCTCCAGAGTCGGTGCGGCGCGCCGGCGGCGCGCCGGCGGCGCTTCTGTACTCGCCGCGCGGGGCCCTTTCGGTTCGTGGTTCGTGCGCGATGCGCTGCACGCGCAATACCGTATGTGCGATGTGGCCGGCCGAGCGAGTAATGGACCGACAATTCGAAGGGAACGCGTGTATATAAGTGGCGAGCCGTCGGTGAGTGCGCGCGCTGCTCTGGAATGCGCGTCGCCGAGCTTTTACACACTCTACCTGCCAGGCCGCTGCCGACGGATTCGTGTAAAATCCACTCGACTCCGTCGACAACTTCTTTCTTTCTGCAACTTGGCTGCGCGTTTCGCAAACGAGTGTGTTTTCACGGTCATGCAGCGACGATGACAATAGCGAATGCGTTGATGTTTGCAATTAAGGGCCACTCTCAACTTCGGCTACTCGAAAAGCAGCAATTACCCGCAGAAGAGTGCCGTTAAGCGCATCTTTTCGCCAAACAAAAGACTCGTTCGCGCACTTACGAACAGTCTCTATCTCCGCTGTGTTTATTGTAACCGATACACGAAACATTGTTTTCCAAGTTACTTTAATTGTTCCGAAAATTTCATCGTTAAATGTTGAGTCGAGCAAATGAAAGGAAGTTGTTTGACATACCTTTGGAGTTGATGACTGACGATAAATATAACTTGTATATACATCGTTTGTGGTACTAGTTTAATGTGTTTGGTTTTCGTTCACTCACGTTGCCTACACAAAAAGGTAACGTTAAAATTATCATAAAAATGGCCTTTGTTCTCATACACGCGATAATAGTGTCCTTCTGGACTATTAAAATAACTGCTTCTGCTCTGCCATTTTAAATAGGCATAACTAAATAATTTAATAGCTGCAGTCTATTTAGTGATAGTTGCAAGTGATCTCTACGATCTAACGATGATCAATCTGAAATGGTCATGACCGAGTGTCGATAATGTAGAGATCGAATTGCGTAACCATCTGTGACAAATATACTCTTCGACATACAAAGCACATGAATACCACCCATGTTTATAATATACATTTATTATCCGCTTGACGAATCTGTCTAAACTTAAGTATTGTAAATGAAAAATTAATTAAAATTTGACTTTGTATCATCTCAACAATGAATTATTTGTGATAAAAAGGACAGACGATATTCGTCTATCACCACATACTTCAGACTGTCAACTGACCGTGTGGCCTAATGGATAAGGCGTCGGACTTCGGATCCGAAGATTGCAGGTTCGAGTCCTGTCACGGTCGAAAGAGACATTTTTTTTCGTCTTTGCAAATTGAGAAGGTAGTTCACACACTTTACATTCTATTAGAAAAATAAAGATCATGTAAATAAATAACAATGACAATAACAAATACGTTATTAATCAAAGATACATTTGTGACTGACGAAAAAAGTCTGACGTGTCGCTAGAAGGATGGTTTAGTCGAAAATCATAATATAAATAAGTTCCGTGTACGTCAGAATGTCGGAGAGGAAAGTAAATGTGCGACGATAGGTAAAATCGAAGACAAAATCACTTACGCTCATGACGTGTCTTTTTTATTTTGAAAAATGTATTGCACGCAAGCCGCGTAATATTATATTCATAATTTTTTTAATATTTAATACAGGTATCAATAGCACGATATAAAAGATGCAAAAGGTACGAGCGAGTAATTTTACATGAGAATTTTTTATAACAGCTCTGATCGACTTTCTTTTCAACGTTAAAAATCCTAAATATTGCTGGACTCTATTTGCTTACACAATTTACCTCGACCCCTGTGTAGAATTTCACTTGTGAGCCGGAATATACACTTTTTGAATTCACCTGACACATCGCGCTGTATCGATTTTTTATTAAAAGTCTCTAATGACACTCACTTTGGCGTGCAAGTATAAGCAGGAAAAAATAGAATAGTTTCGTTGCTATGAGAAATAAAAAAGTTTGTGATTGATGTTCCTCATAAAACTTGAACTACTTTGGCATTACAAACTGTAACGTTAGATATGAGTTGAGAGCCTAGACGCTTCCTACTGAAATAATCAATAAAAAAATAATATTTCTTTATTCAAATTTTTATTGAATGTGCTTTATTAATTGTTTTACATATAACAAAAATGCACGTTTTCAATGAATAAAAAATGTTTTCTTGTGCAATGTAAATAATAATTCTTAAAAAGAAATCAATTTGAAAATTTTTTGTTATGAACAATTATTTATTTATAAAATGCAATATTAATTGTTGGCGTGTGCTTCAATTAATGAAATGAGAAAAAAAAATTTCCTTCGAGCCGGATTTGAACCAGCGACCTATGGATTTCCGTCATTTGATCAACCAACTACAGTCCACCGCTCTACCAACTGAGCTATCGAAGGATGCGATTCACGAAAGTTTTTAGGCGTACTTGAATTTCAGAAGCACAACTATAAGCTTTGATTACATATGAAGCTCATATAGACATACGAATGCAGCTACGACAACATAAAGATTAGATACAGGTTATTGAATTGTACACGATTTTAAATGAATAATAAAAAAATAATTTTAATAGACAAATTATGATTGTTTTATGGCGGGAAATAAGCTATTCCATTAAAAGAGCTGAGAGTAATAAAAAGTGGTGTTTTTAATCCACTCTGTAAAGCGTAGATAAAGTTGATATGGAGTGGCAAAATAAAATCATAGTTGAGCACGACTGCCTGAAATGTATAACGATAGAATAACGATTCTAAAAGAAAACATCAAGTGAAATAGATTGGCATTATTGTCAGGGAAAAATTTGCAAAAATACAACTGGATTGTAAGTCATTCCATAGAGAATTAAAATAAATGGAAGTAGCAGTAGCAGCATCGCAAGTAAAGGATCGCCCGATAGCTTCATATTAACGTGCCCGCCACTAGCTGAAATCGAGCAAAAGAGCGAAATAAGGGCTTGGCGCTTGATAAATTGTCAGAACTCACGACTTGACATTATCGCCCATCGGAAGTTGGAGCGCTGACGTGTTCCAAAAGTGAAAGAAAACAGGCCGATGGGGAAGAAAGACAGAAATATACGACAATAGATTATTTCTTTTTTCAGTAATTGAAATCAGATCGACCAAGTACACCTTTTTCGTGAGCGTCGAGGCTTATTGTGGGGAAACCAAAGAGACTGTGGCGTAGCTGCTGTCGAAAGGGAAGAGCGCATGCCTGCTGTTCGACAGCTATTGACGTTGGTTTATTAAGAAGACAAGCTATTGAACTAGTTCACGCGCAACGCGAAGATAGACGAAAGTGTACGTTACGCAGGTTGACCGACTGGAAGAAGGGATTGAGATCAAGCACGAAAGCACTGCGGGTCAAAGAACGCACGATTGAATTAAACGGCTAATTGAATTATGTCAATTTCTTAATAAATGTTGCGATGTAGAGAGAAAGCTCGGGTCGACGAGCGGATTACAAATGGCAAGTAGTTGGCAGAGGAGCAAATATCACTAGCCGACCTGTGAACGTCAATAATTGAGCCCTTGTTCGATTCCCAAATGTACTTGCGAAGGTATATCTCTGTCGTGCAATCAATTTCGCCGCGACCAGTAAACACGCTATCAAATAATAGTGTTCGGTCGGAGCTAAAAGCGTCGGAAATCGTTCACGGTGACGGTCGCTCATCGCGACTGTCTGTATCAAAGCTGTAATGGAATGTTCCGGCTCGTCGGCGCTCGTTGGAAAGAAAGATCGACAAAGCTTGATGATCCGACGAGTTTGTTGAGCGGCGGCGAGCGGCGCCGAGCTGAATTCGAGCCCGAGCGAACGCGACGCCTGGCACAGGTGTTCGCCAACTGTCACATTGTGTATTTTCAGAATTTGTCTCTGGCAAGCGCTTGCTCGATTCACCTCGTGACCATCTTTCGGATGACCCGCTGCAGGCGCTGCTGCTGCTGCTGTTGCTGCTGCTGCTGCTGTTGCACTTATTAGTTGTCTCGTGGCACTGAAGCGCTTAACAAATGATCCAATTGATTGCTTTTCCACGCGCCTCATTGGCCAACTGAATAACGAAAAATCAGACGCTTATGCAAACGACATTCGAGTGACACTCCATTCAAAGCTGATATACTTTCGGTCGAATTGGCAAGAGAATCAAAGGCTTTTCGAGAGACGAAAAAGTCTCTGGCCATTATGTCAATGAAATTGGCGAAAAAGGTATATTATTCTAACTAGAGTAGACTGCATTATTCCGTACACAAACTGCACGCACGGGGCTTCGTCGCATAGCGATGCGGGGGATTACGTGCTGGAAATATATATATATACCAGCTGATGTATGAGCGACGAGTTCAGCAAACTTTTATTGTGCCGTTAGTGTCAATATTTTCACCGAGCAGTGCCACTCCGAAAAGTTGCAATAATAACAGCTTTTCTCCGATATCACTTGTCAATACTTGCGCCTAGCTGCCTATGACTCTACGCCTTTGTCAGCTGCGAGAAGTTTGGCTATTCAATTCGTTTCTACCAGTTAATTCGTTGCTTACACGACGATGGCTTATTCTTGTTACTAGCCACTGAAATAATTAGAGACCATTTGACGAGATTTCAATGGAGAAAAGTTATTGAAAATGTTCGAGCGCTCATGGACGTTAATAATGACTAAACTGCATTTTATAGACTTATAAGATAGAAAATTGCGCTGCTCTTGTAAAAGCACTGCGTAAACAATAGATTTTTCTGTTGAAGCTCATATGCGTTATGAGACAATTATTAAATAATAGTTTTTCGACTGACAACGAGAACACCAGGTCAAATTGCCATTATCCTCGTTTCTATGTTATTATTTAAAGCTAGAAAAGCTTATAATATTTGTTACTTTCGGATCAAATAACATTTGAAAAATGTTACTCGCCGTTTGATCAACAACAAAGTTCTCGAACAAGTTGATTTTCAAAATAAATTTGGCGCCGAGAGCAAATGATTACGGCCGAGCGCGTTCTGATAACGAGATGAACTCTAGTGTTGTCAGCCTAGTTTTCTCAAAAAAAAGAAAAACAATTTGCAGCACTTGAAAGTAATTACTTGTGTTCTCCAACGCGCCGTTTCGCTTCTTCTTAGCCGCAAAACAGAACAAGTTCAAACGAGGTTGCTACTTCTGTGATAACAGACTACTTCGCCGAGTAAAGAGCGTTGATCTAGATTTTTCTTTTATTAATATTAATTTAATTAATATTCATTATTCTACTCACGTTTGTCTATTGTTATCTGTACAAAAGTACTCGACGTTGAATAATATTCATTTTTCAATAATTAAAGCATACATTCGTGAAATTTGTTCGGCGAAAAAAGTGAAAAATTTTAGCAATCCCGAACAATGTTTGCATGAGCTTTTTATAACTTTCCCTGAATCCGAGTATTGTGCGTTCCAGAGTGGAAAAAAAGCTTTTATTAAAATTGGAGATTTTTGTCAAACTAAGTCTAATTTGAAGTTGCAATGCATCGTTTCGGAATCAGTTGCTCAAAAATAATTTGAATGTCAAATGTGCTCACCTCCATCATCCTCCACGCCTTCAGAGGGCAGAAAAGCCAGATTCTACAGTGAAAAAATACGAAAAGGAGGTCAGTTTGACGTAGCAAGAAAGAACTTGTTGAATTGAAACAAACAAGATCGCATTTGCCGATGATTGGAAACCCCATTGAAGCATCATCTTTTGAAAATCCAAGCAAGACATTGGCTGGTGGCAGTCGGCAGTGGCCGAAGGGGGTAGGCTAGGTGGGGATCCGATGATCGCTCATCGTCATTGCCCGCGCGTCGCGGCGCTGCAGCAGAGAAAGGGGCACACGCGCGCTAGTGTAGGTGTGTGTAGTGCGCTGGTGTTGCGAAGGGGAGGGGAAGCGCTCGCGTGGCAGTCTGGCGTCGCTGGTCGACGTACGCGGAACAGCAGCGGCCGAGCAGGGGCAGAGCGCTCTTTGCGCTCTTTGCGCGCTGTCGCGTTCGCTGCATATACATTTGCGTGGTTCTCGCGGACAGAGGAAGCGGCCCGGCGAATCGGTGTCGGAAAAGCGGCGGCAGGTGGCAGGTGGCAGGTGGCAGGCGGCCGGCCGAAGAGGTGTTGTATGTCATTGTCAGTAGAGCTGGTGACAGTCGATAGTGCGAGAGCGAGTGCCGATGCGGAGCGTGCAGCTGCGGCTGCTGCGGCCGCAGCAGCGGATGCACCGCGGGGCAGCAGTGGCGGCGGTGACGGCGGCGGCGGTGACGGCGGCGACGGCGGCCGGCCAGCAGCGACGACCAGCAGCAGCGGCAGCAGGGAGGAGGTGTGGCGGTAACAACCGCGCCACCTCGTGATCGGCCCGGCCTCGATGGAAGTCTTGGCGGACAGGCCTGGTGCTGAGGCTGGCGAGATCACGCAGGTAGCAGCCCTCGAGCCCTTTGCTCCGGCTTCTTGCTCCGCATCGATCGCCTTTGTCGTCGCCTCGCGCTTTTGTTCCCGGAGCGAGCCTGCGAGCTTGCGAGCTTGCGAGCTTGCGAGCTTGCGAGCTTGGATCGATCGGCACCGCGGTGAATCTCTGGTCGGCCGCCAGTGTCGGCCTGCGCGAGCACAGTCCCGAGCCCGCGGTCTCGACGCGGTGGCGACGCTGGTCTCGAGCATTAAAAAGGTCGCGTCGTGGCGAAGGCGTATGCGCGGCCCCCGTCGCGCTCGCTGTTCGCCTTGTCCCTGTACACCTTTCACGTGGCTTGTGCGCGCGCGCAAGCTCGCTCTTTCTCCGAAAGCAGCCCTCTCCCCGCGCTCGCCACACGAAACTCGACGACGGTCGATACTCCCCGAGCACAGCCAGCGGTGCAGACGCGCGCATGCATACCATGCGCACGCACACCAGCAACCGGGCCCACACAACGCTCTCGCTCTTTGCCACTGTCTCTCCGTCTCTCTTCTTTTTCTTTTTGGCTTTCGACTCGATGCGCACTCCTCGTTTTAAGAGATTCCAGAAGGAGGAACAAGGAGAAGGCCGCGAGCGAGCCTCCTCTTTTGTTCCTCTGTCCTTTCGAGGCAAGTTTCCAGTTTCGTTTAAGGGGACGCGGGTGGTCGTGTGTCGCGTGTTTCGGAAGAGAGCTGGAGAGAATGGACGCCTGTCGAATCGACCTCGCCTATTAATATTGATTTTCCTGCTTGTATAGCACACGGCGCGCCATGATAACCTGCGAATCACCTCACTTAGATCAAATTAAGGCTCCTTTCGCTCGTTCGCGTGTTTAACCAACACGGCATCCATTAAACTGAGCTTTACCGATAGAGAAACGTTTTCTTTTTTATCGCGCACATTTCAATGTCGGTAGCGCAGGTTCAGCTACGTCATTCATCTCGTCATTCGTCTTCATGTTTTTCTTCCTTTTGCGAACTTTACTCTACTACTACTAGGCGCGCGCACACCTACACTCTAAACCGTACACACCATAGACGCGGCACATTGATTCGAAACGTAACCTACTGGCGTCGTGCAAATTAATTTTAAACGACGTCGCAAATATTGTTCCATTATGAATCGTTCCTCTTTCGTCCATCAAAATAACATTGATTTAGAGAGCGTGTATACCTATTTTTATTTATTGGTAAGTCAGTGGAAGACACGTACTGTACGTCCGTGAATCAACCGCCTTTTAATCGAGAAGTGTAAGCTTTCATACAGAATACTCAGTCTCGCGACAGGTTACCTTCATCCATAATTTATCCAGCAAACAGTCACGTGGCAGCAACATGTGACGAAGGGTAAGATGCTATTCGACGACCAGGTTTTATTCACATCTAAAATTGGCGCTTTTTATATAAGGCTGACCTTCTTCCCGCAGTTAAATACGGCTTTATTATTATTTTTCCAAATGTCACACAAGACTTTTTCTCGGGCGCGAGTGCGTATACGTCATCTACGAGTCGTATTTATTTAACACGCACGTAACAGATTATACACTCGACGATCAAAGTACGTATTACGACAAATAAGTTAACTCTTTTTCATCAAGCTATGTATATTGGTTTAAGCTTCACGCAGTGGAACCTGCTGGCTGAGAAAAAAAACTACTGACGTGTAATTCAATTATTCGCTTGTATCTCGCGGTTTAATTGAACTGAATTCGACGAAGCTGTAACAAGCTTGTTTCATGATCGGTTGAATAATTTAGCTTACTAATTAGATTTGATTGGCATTCAATAAAGCCTGCACCGAGAATTGCTACCTGGTTGTTTTACATTTCCTTCAGGAGCTCGCACGGAACGATCGGAGAATGGACTATCGATTGTCTCATGCTCGTTTCGTGCCAAGGTTTTCATTTCGACGAAATCAAGTTCAAATAACTAAACGACCAAAAAAATATTTTCCCAGTGTACTAGATTCATAATATATGCTTCGTTTTACGTTCGATTAGTTCATTAATTATGAGTTTCCTGTGTTTAATAAAAGCCAGAACGAACTAGTTGGAAAAGTACCGATGACTATTGCGCACATGGAAAAGTACTACGACAACATTTTGTTGGCTTGAAAAAGAAAAAAATGGAATCATCATATTCAACGTTTTATTACTGCTGCTATAGTTTCATTAAATAAATTAAATAAGTTTTCACATTAATTTTTTTCTTTTTCGGTAATATTAATGTCGCAATTATCAATCGAACGATTATTATCCTGCTTCGTTTGTTCTAATGTACATATATTGTAACTTCAACTTAAATTATAATTATATAAAAGATGAAGTATACGAGCGTGGAATTTAAGCTTACCAACGAATAAGCTCATATCTGCAGATAAATGATTCATAATTAAATTCTGCGTAAAATCACTAATTACAAGATTTACTTGAAAGAAACAACCTATGCCTATGTTAAAGATTATAAACCTACAAACAAGTGTCTCATAAAGTAAATTAAAAAGTTTCTTGGATTCGACCTCTGTGTAAACGCCAAATAAATTCCGTCTATTTTTATTACTTTTTATTTACTTTTATAAATAGCTTTAAACTTATACATGTACGTTCATCATATTTTTATAGTTAAGGGTAGATAAAGTACATTTTATAATTTTAATTTATGTTACTATTTAAATAAATGTACAACGCATACAAATATACTTAATCATTAACATAGGGCGTTCAATGAAAGCTAGACTGGTTTTATAATCATATCTGTAGTGAAAATATTTCAACAGCGTTGGAAATATTTTCACTAAATAGTCAGACGCAAGACGTGAAAATAATTAACGAGTGTAACATTACAAATTTGAAGCTGCCCCCGTACAACTGTATAGCTAACTAAAATATTTTATATTTAGAGAAAATTTGTCGCGTTTTCCATGTAATGATTTTTCTAAAAGAAATGTAGTTGCTGCTTGAAAAGATTAATAGTGATAAATGCTACAGCTTAGATTATAGCAAATCAATTTTGGAGCATCCTATCTAGCGATTTCATCATGAAAAAATTAAAAAATCTGCGATGACTTTGAGCTGTCACTGGTGCTTATTAAGATAAATACATCGGAAAGGAAATATTAGCGCACGTTATAACAAAACCATTATTACCTTAATATCGATAATTTTTAAATAAAGCTTTACTGATGATGTATTTATCATCATAATCCATGAAAGCTTATTTGTAATTTTGTAATTGTAGCACACATTTCAATATGACAGCCTATCAATGACTAAATTGTAAAATTTATTTTAAAATAAGGCTCGTCACATCATCTACGATCTATATTAAGTCACACCGCTATATTCCTTGTATCAGTAGTCGATATTTAATTTTCATGTATGACAAACAATTAATCGGTAAAACTTTGCAAAGAAATTTTCCATGCTTGAGTAACTCTTGTTTGGTTATGATTAGCGCTAATATTTTGTTTTCGACGTAAAACACAATACCGGTGACAGTTAAAAATGATCCTTGAATTATTTTATTTTTTCATGATGCAACTTCTAGATAGAACGCTCCAAAATGGATTAGTTGTCATCTAGGCTGTAACATTTATCAATATTATTGCTTTCAAGTAGCAACTATGTTTAGTTTAGGCAATTCATGAGGGGAAGAGGTAACCAATTTTCCTTTATGCTATATATATTTTAGTTGGCTATTTAGGTGTAGAATTATATGTGGGAACCTTAAGTGTATATTTGACGTAAGCGGTGCGAATTAGATTAGAAAAATAAAAATTAAGAGCACATTTAGCTGCGATTAAAAAGGAGCGACGACTGTGAGTTTTATTAAAACAGAATATTAATTTGCAAGGTACACATAAGAATGAATGAAATAACGAGACATCCGTGGTCGAATATTTAAATATTTTCTGCCGAATGAGCTTGCCTAACATTCGAAAATTGTTTTCTCATTGCAGATATTGACAGAAGCGGCCGAAGGCAGAATGGGTTCCTGCGGGGTGTACTTCTCTCAGTTGCGAGCCATGCTCATTAGAAATCTCCTTCTAAAGAAACGAGAAAAGAGAAAAACAACGGCGGTACGTAAAGATTGATCGATAAAGAAACTATGCTCGTTTTTGGTTGTTGTGCGTTCTTCGCGCTAGTCTAATTAGCAAAAACCCGCTATTAATGATCATCTCGCGAGGAAAACCATTGAATATAGGAGGGGCGAGGATAAGAAAAACGCATTTTTCACGCATTCCATGTATCCGTTGGCAAGCAGTTGTTGTCTTATTTGTGCCAATTGGGCCAAGGATGCCAGAACATCAGTGAGAAGACAATTTTTTCCTAGCGTTGCTGGTTGACGTGGAAGTCGAGGCGGTTGTCGAGGTGGTAGTTGTTTTCTGCTTGCTACTGGTACCGGCACCAGCGCCGCCGCTGCCAGTAGTGTTCGCATAGTGGTGGTCTTTGCCACGAAATACACCAGGATCGATGACGTTGATTGGACCGTCGTTCCACAAGCTGGTATCCGTGGAGACACTTCGAGTGGCGGTCGCTGCTGACGTTGACGGTAGTAGGTGCGGACCGACTAGTAGGTAGACCTGTACAAAAGTGCTTTCGAGCTTTTCTTTTCTTTAAGTTTTTTTCTTAATATACGCTCGTGCAGTATTCAAGATAAATAAATAATAAATAAAAGATGAATGTTGACAGACCGCGATCAAGTAGTGCTCGTCGCATCGATATAAAAAATAAACAACTTGGAATGGCATTATTTCTTTTCGCTCATTTCGTTTCGCTTGGAATCGAGCCACTGTCGGTACATCAACAGAGCCGAGCTATCCATATCATCCAAGCTCGAATATCTCGGCAAGATAGTTATAATTCCATCCAAAAGTTCAATCAATTTCGAAACAGCAATCAGCAATCAAGAGAAACTAACAATTGAAGAAATCCAACCTGTTCAAGCCACGTAGGTAATTGCAGTCCAGCAGCGCAAACTTGCCACATCGGCAGTCCAAGATGCACGAGCATCATGCGGAAATATTTGGAAAAGCTATCTGCCAAATAATGCCATCGATTGGTTGGCGTATTATAGAGCCAAACCGACGGCTCGTCTTGATCGGGTTGTAGTTGGTAAGCCAAAAAAATGCGACAATGTGCGCACTCGGCCAACTCGAAAAGTTTACACCGTGACCCACCAAATGTTGGTTCGACAATCATTGATTTAACTTCGTCGCTGCTTACACTGGTATTACTACTTGTCGACTCGACGGTTTGATCTTTGGCGTTGTTGTTGATTGGTACGCCAACGTGACGTCTAAGTGATACCAGCTCCTTTACTTCCATCCGACCGATTGGAAACTCCTCGCCTGTGTGTCAGATAGATAGTCGCGATAGTCAGGTAGATTTAATTCATCTTAGTTTGAAATATTCTGCTGCATTTCAGTAAGAACAAGAGAGGGTAATTTAAATAATCAATCAAATTAACTTTTACATTTTGAGGTGCACATGCATCTTTTTATGTACTTGATATATATATTGTTCGTAACTTGGCAAGATTGTATTATCGAACGAATAGAAGCTAGATAAAATTAGTTTATAAAGAGCTTTTCAGTTGAGGTTAATTGGAAATTCATAAAGAAAAGCTACAAAGAGACTTGATCTCTTTTCTCGAATTTATGTCGATCGAATTTATTTTGAGAAAGAATATATGGAAGAGAGAGAGAGAGAGAGAGAGAGAGAGAGAGAGAGAGAGAGAGAGAGAGAGAGAGAGAGAGAGAGAGAGAGAGATGGGAAGGGGAGAGAAGGAATTAATATAATTTTTACTTTATATGCGCGCTCACTCAGCTCGTTTCAATAAATAATGACAAAGCGATGTTGCACCTACTGAATGAGTAATACGGAAATACAAGTTGCACCTACTGAATGAATAACGCGGAAAGACGAGATTTTTTCCAAACTGATATTGATAAGACATTGAAAGCTACCTCTGCAAATCGATTTGTTTTTTCAAGGAGCGCAATAGAAAAAAATGTTATTTAGCGATAGTTATATTTGAATGACAGGCCACAATTAAGTTTGGTAAAAGCGAAGAGAAAAGCTAATCAGGAAACCGTTAGCATCGAAATAGCGACTTTGTCCTTTGATTAAATTAATTAACACTTCTCCAGATGATTAATTGTCGCTTTCTCGCTAATGAACAAATGACTTTTGCGTTTTCTACCGTGCCGTCAACGTAAACAAACGACACTCACATAGAACAACAAATTGCCTGTAGTCAATTAATCAGCAAGGAACACCCTGCGATGCTTCCTCTAAGCGAATTAGCTGTACTGCCCGGCTACGATCCAATAAACGATGTTACGGTGCAAAAAAAAAAAACAAAACAAAAAAGCACAAGAGAAGTATTAAAAACCTGATATCTCCAAGCTCCATGTGAGTAAAAATCCATCGGTAGACGCGTAAAAATTTCTCAAATCCTCGGTCAACAGGCAACAATGTTTCTGCTCCCAGGTGGAGAGAGCAGCTCTGTCACAGGCGCCACGACGTTCGAGTTGTACGTTTTTCACGCAAGGATTCGCTTCGAGAAGCTTGGAGACACCGAGCATCAGATTTTCATAGAAGGAATCCTCGCTAACGATGTCGACGAAGAAAGACATGTGAATTTTTAGCCTTACGGCGACAAAAAGGAGACTAGAGCAAATCGAAAAGGCAATGTCGGGTATAGGCCAAGTTTACTCGTGGCGTCATGGCAACGAGCGTAACCCCCCCTAGAGGCGTCACTTGCTCTCGTGCCGAGCTTGCTCTCATCCGTGCAACGGCTTTATGACTTTTTTTTAGATAAGCTTTATTTAGCAGCCTGGCCACTCTAGCACGCCGCTCGTCTTATTGTCGAGAGGAATGCCTTGGCATTAAGTATGGTTTTCACTTGGAGCGCTGATTCGATCTCGTTTATTTCAGCTTATTTATAGTTTTGCTGTTTTTATGACTTTTCTTGGATCACAAGATTGATCGTTTTTCAACTGACGTGATTTCAGGGTAGAGTTAGTTTGTTCAGCTCTTGTTTGGTCGGTTATGTTTGTGCGTATGCAGTAAATAAATTACGAGCTTGACGGCGATGATGTTCAAAGTAACGTTGGCGCTGCATGAAAACGAAAATATACGCGATATTATGAAATTTCTTGACTACTTTGAACGACACAAGCTGTAAAATGAAATTGTACGGCTAGATTGTTATGCATTCGATTGAAAAGATTTTCTATATTTGACCCTTAACCAAGGCAGGAGTAAACGTTTCCCGGTAAAATTTGTTCATAGGTATTTATTTAATAGGAATGCTGCAGGAGATGAGGTTGAATGATAGGTCTCTCGAACAACAATTATAAAAATAGCTGTGACGAGGATATCGATTGAAAAATCAACTTGTTTCGAATGCAAATACAATTTGCTGAATTCATTTATCAAAATACTATAAAATTGAACTATACGAGGATGCATTATTTTAATTTCAGGAGATATTTCTTCCTCTATATACCCTTGGGATATTGATTGTGGTGAAGGTTTTTATACCGAATCCTAACTACCCCGCGATTACGACTCAGAAGCGGGAAATGAGCATTTTCAAGTGGTTTAATAGTTATAACAACAATACTATTGCCGTTGTGCCCAATTCAACGGAAACTCTCGTAAGTATATAACTGGACAGCTGCGTAAGCCTGGGCTTTTTCATTAAGAAAAGAGAAAAACATTGAAACCGAGCTTGCTCGCAGGCTTTTCTAAACTCTATGAACGTGTTGTGGTCATCTATGTGGAAATATCGTGGCAAGTTTCCCCTAAATTTCGTTGTCTACGATACTAAGGACGATTTACAAGCCGCTTATTGGAAGGATCCCTACAATGTACCACTAGCAGTCATTTTCGAGGATCCTCAGCCAATTTCTCGTCGTTTACTGTGAGTATAGATAACTTGTGCCTCTATACTTCCCACGCAGCAATACGTAAACAAATGAATATTCGGCTCGTTTTGTCATTCTTTGTGAAAACATGCAAATCGCGTTCTGTCACGGCGAGTGGTTGTGTTTGGTCAATGACATCGGCGATGAAATTGTTACAGGTATGAAATACGGACGAATCCTTGGTACGTAACGCCACCGAGGCCGACCGAGCTGTTCTCGTCCTCGGTGACCTGTCGGAAGAACACCAGTCACTGGATGGGTGGTATTCTGTCCTTTGATACCGGCGCCACATGCCCAGTCAATAATTATATTTTATCCGGCTTCATGGCCTTGCAAATAGTTATAGACACTACCAAAACTCGAGTAATCTAACTGACTTATCTGTAAAGAAAAAACGAAAGATCTGAATGTGCACTGAATACTATCGTTATTGATATTTGCAGTTGGATACAGGCAACAGCAACATCCGAGTACCGAATGTCCAGCTGGAAATGTTTCCAAAGGAAGCGTATACAGCAGGTAAATTATTCCGACGTATTTGTGCGCTTCTCTTTTTCGAGAAGGTGTGCGCTTCACTTTATCGAATCCTATTTATAATAGATCGTCTCCGCGATATCGGTTTCCTTTCACAGATTGGATGCTCGCTTTTCGCGTCGTGATTCCTCTGTACATGGTGCTAGCACTCTCGCAATTCATTACATATCTACTGATACTTATCGTCGGCGAGAAAGAAAATAAAATCAAAGAGGGCATGAAGATTATGGGCCTCAAAGATTCAGTATTTTGGTAATGGCATTTGTTTTTGGCGAATCCCGAGGAAATGGGAAATTGATAGGCTTATCGAGGTCGCTTATTGCTTACAGGTTATCGTGGTTTATCCTTTATGCTATTTTCGTTCTGCTGCTCTCGGCAGTTGCAGTCGTGTTGCTGTTCACTTTGCAAATGTTCCAGCACACGGACTTCCTGCCGATATTCCTACTGGTCGTGCTCTACAGCTTCTCCGTCATCATGTTCGGTTTTATGATTACGCCGTTCTTCGATAAGTCACGAGTAAGTGGAAGCTATTCCTCGCCAACTTTCTGATACGAACAAATTTCACGTCTGTGTTTTTTGTTGCAGACTGCCGGAGTTCTTGGTAACTTTGCAGTGACGATACTTAGCCTAATGTACTTTATCCAAGTGTTCGTCGACGACTCGACCTCGATATCTTTCTGGGTTGTGTCGTTGATTAGCCCCACGGGAGTTGCCTTGGCAATGGACAAGGTACGTTTCGATCAATAGTTGGCTTGAGCTCACAGACAGCATCGACTCTATGGGAACTATTTGGTGTTTGCAGGCACTCGTGTTGGACCTGCAAGGCGAAGGGGTAAATTTTGACAATCTTTGGTCGGGTCCGGGAATGCCATTTGGTGGTAGCCTCGTCATGATGTCCTTGGATATCATTTTATATGGAATGCTTGCCTATTACCTCGACTCCGTTATTCCCAGTAAGCTTACTCTGTCGATTTCAACAAATCTTTTCCTTCTTATCAATCTGTAAATCGAAGGTTGAGAACTTACCTAAACTGTAGTGAGAAGACAAAAGTTGAGACATTTTCTAAACTTGTATTCGTGCAATTTGTCTTCTTTATACAAGAGGCAATACAAGGTTTTCTAAAAAGAAACATTTACAGGTGAATACGGTGTGAAACGACCGCCATGGTTTTGCTTTGCATGTAATTTCTGGTGTCGCAAGACTAAAACGCCACGAGCACCTCAGACAGTGAACGGCGAATCGAATAGTTTCATCCCCGGTGAGGAAGCGAACCGCGACGTGGAGCCAGTGGTGCGCGAAATGAAAGGTCGCGAGGCGATTCGGATCGTCGACCTCTACAAATCGTACACCAAGTGTCGACGTGCCGAAGTAAAAGCCGTGAACGGCATAAATTTAACCATTTACGAGGGCCAGATAACCGCGATTCTCGGTCACAACGGCGCTGGCAAGACAACGCTCTTCAACATTCTCACGGGACTGACTTCGCCGTCTTCCGGTACTGCACTGATATTTGGCTACGACGTGAGGGACTCCAACGACATGCATATGGTTCGTAGCATGACCGGTGTGTGCCCGCAGCACGACATTCTTTTCGATTTGCTGACGCCTCGCGAGCATCTCGAGTTCTTCGCTGCGGTGCGCGGCATTCCGAGGAAACAGATCGGTCACGAGGTAAGTCCGAATGACCCTTACGGATACTTGGGTCTTAAATTCGACAAGACAACACGTGCTACGCGTCTTTTACGTTATTTACTTCTTACGTAGGTTAAGAAGACCTTGAAAGACATAGACCTAATGGATAAAGCCGACACCTTCGCCAAGTATCTCAGCGGCGGTCAGAAGAGAAAACTATCGGTCGGAATCGCCATCATCGGCGATCCCAAAATCATCATTCTCGACGAGCCGACGGCGGGTGTCGATCCGTACTCGCGTCGGCAGTTGTGGTCATTCCTTCAGTCGCGTCGTCACGGCAAAGTTATATTGCTGACGACTCACTTCATGGACGAAGCTGATATTCTCGCCGACAGGAAAGCTGTAATTAGTAAGGGCAAGCTGCGCTGCTGCGGTAGTTCGTTGTTCCTTAAAAATAAATTTGGAATCGGATACCATCTCACGTGAGTTCTTTTTGTCGTACGCAAACGCAAGCACGTAGTTGAGCATTAAGCTCATTTAGCGTGTGCTCTGTTTTTCAGGATGGTATTGGAGGGTAACTCGCGTGAAAGCGCAATTGCCCGGCTGGTATTGTCGCACGTGGCGAAAGCTGAAAAGGCGCGACGTCACGGTCGTGAACTGAGCTTCATTCTACCGCACAACTCGGTGGATAATTTCGCACCACTGTTCTCGGCGATCGAGCACGAAATCAAGAGCAAAGCACTCCGTTTGGGCATCAGCAGTTACGGTGTGTCGATGACCACTCTGGAAGAAGTGTTCTTACACCTGGAAAAGGACGAGGAGACCGACTGCACGATGGATAATCTTTCGAAAAAGATGGTGAGAAATCGTGCACTCAGTCGTTCCTTGTCTCTCCAGTCAAAGAGCACGTCTTACCAGAGTCTACAGAACGAGGGTGCTCTCATACAGAATGACTCTCAGCTGAAAGGTAAGCCAAGTTTGACAAAGACCAAGTTGTTTGATTTGTCAATCGCTCTTTTTTCGGCAAAGTGGCTATTGATAAACGACAAAGGGAAAAGAAACCTAATGTAGATTGATTCTGCAGTATTTATATGTGAGTTTCTTATTCAATTTTTCGAGTTAAAATGCCACCAACGATTCAGAGCGAGCGAGAAAAGACTCTGTCAAGAATGAGGCTTGAGTTTGGTAGCATTTTCACTCCAAAAAATTTAAAAGGTACCCCTTTAAAATGATCTATAACGCACACTCAAGCTGTCAGTCATGCAGTATCTCTCATGCATTGTTATGTGTGCCGTGTCGATTTATGTATCCATGGTCGCCAGCGACAAATCTTATAAATAAGTATATGCTAAGCATGTAAATAAACACTAAAAATCAGTAGCGTGAAATAGTATCATGTAGAGCTAAAGAGAAGACAAACGATAAAATAACCTTCATTTTCAAGTCGTGCTCTGTCTCGCCTCATCTCGCTTTGTCTGCACGCAATTAGCCACGAGCACATCCTTCGCCAATTGACTATTTCGTCGTTGTGCTACTCTATACACAGATATAAGCGAGCTGCCCGAGAGTGGCTCGCAGCAGGACAAGAGTCCAGCGATACTTGGTCTCGGCTTGGACCCCATCAACATCAGGCCTAAGGCAATGCAAGCTTTCTACGCCATGCTACGCATTAGGGTCTTGCGACTCTTCAGGAGCATACAGCTGCTGTACTTTACGATCGTTGCACCGCTCGCCCTTGTCGCTCTCGGCCTCTATCTCAAAAGTATACAGACCGTCGACATCAAGGTGCAGAGCTTGGAACTCAATAAAAACGGTAAATGCAGTCCCTTTTCACAAAAGCAAGTGCTTTTCTTGTCTCCAGTTGTTCCGAATTAAATGCATAGGCCAACACAACTCTTTGCTGAACAGCCAGCATTCATCGCAGGTTTTCATTTCACGTCGAACTTGCCCCCGAAAGAACAATAAACCTTGGTTAAGCGTCATTACATTGATCGAACAGCGGAAACTTCATTTTCGACTATTAAATTTAACATTAAACTTAGTAGCAGACCTATCGGTAAATTAATCACGTGAAATTCTGCAGATACTTACGGAAACGACACGAAGATTCTGTACGTCAACAGCTCGGGTCAAGATATGACGGAACTGACGAACAGCCTGAACCAAGTGATTGGCTATACGCACGAATACGACGGGACCTTCGGCGACTTGTTGGATCGGGCACCTCATATGGCCATACTCAACGTCACAGGCTATAATGTGACGAAGATTAATGTCACGGTCATATACAATGATACCATGCAACATTCATTGCCGCTGGTCTTGAATGTCTTTACCAACGCATTTCGCAAGTAAGAATTTCTCATGAATTTTTAATTGGGATGCACGGGTTAATCGACTTGGACGAGAATGTAACTGATGTGGCTCGAAGGCCTAATTATTTTTGAACGATAACTCGTGAAAAAAAGCTTTCGAATGAGACGTGAAAAATAGGGAAAATATCGATGATTTTATGCCCTTAAAAATCGATTGCAAAACTTTCAGAACCCTCGCTATCGACCAGACAGAGCCGATAAGAGTGAAGACGCATCCGTTCCAGCAAACATCTCAGCCCCAAGAGTTTAATATTGGAATAGCCAGCACTGCACTGTTCATCGGAATGGATCTGGTCCTTGTGCCCATAACTCTTGCCGTCGACATGGTCTATGATCGCGAGGTATACGCTGTCCCGTCATACGAAATATTTCAAGCCGAAAATCAATCTCACGCGAGAATTTCATCCGTAGATCAGAGCGAAGAATCAGCTGCGAGTGAACGGCCTGTCCTTCACCGCGTATTTTCTCTCGTACTTTGTCGTGCTGATCGGCTTGATGGCTTTCATCTGCCTCTGCATTCTCGGCATAATTTTCCTATTCGACGTGCCATCGTTGCAAGAAACGCCAGCTCTCCTAACTCTTGGCGGACTCATTATGCTTTACTGCCCATCTTCCATTTTTTTCTCCTCCTGTCTTGCCTACATGTTCGACAAAATGGACTCGGCACAGAGCTTCCTGCCGAACATTGCTACCTTCTTCGGACTCCTACCGTTTTGCTTCGTCATGGTTCTCGATATGTTGAGCGTTGGTAGGTATCAACTCGTTCGTGCTTTTCCATCCACTCAAATCCACTTGTCGACGTCATAATAATCTGGAACTCATCGGTGAATCTAGGTGAAATGGCCGCATTCACGATGCACGTTATATTCTCACTGTCCAACACATTGTACGTGCCGTACGCGGCGCTTTATTACGTCGATCGGGTGCACCTAATGTGCTCGATCAATGCGGCCTGCCATCATCTAAGCATATACGATTACCTGACCAGTGAAATCATTGTCATGGTCGTTGGCGTGATACTACACTGTCCCCTTTGGTTCTTGGTATTGCTCATACTAGACACAAAGAAGAACGGTGGCAACGTTAGAGATCTCATCAAGAATTTCACTGTAAGTTAGATTTTGCATCAATGGAAAACTTTACTACACGAGGACTTGACTTTTCGACCGACTTTCTGTTTTCACAGCGCAATGGATCATCGAGCAACGAAGAAGTCGTTGAAAATTCCGACGTAGGCGAGCACGAAGACACCGATGTAAAGAACGAAAGACAAAAGGTGTTCAATATCATGAACTCGTCGACCGTGCAAGAGTCACCAGTCGTGGTAGTGCAAGTAAGTCGACGAGTAACTCTCAGCTTCAGAGACATAGCCAACGACATTAAAATTGCTCTCTCCATGCTAGAATCTCCGGAAAGAGTACCGTCAACAAGAGGCGACGGGCTGCAGCTGCTGCTCGAAACGCGAGGAGGAGCAACAGCCACAGCCAACGAAAAAAGTAGCCGTGCGTAATCTTTCTCTGTCGGTAGAGGCAGGTGAAGTTTTGGGCCTGTTGGGTCACAATGGTGCAGGCAAAACAACCACCATGAAGATCATTATAGCCGAGGAAGCGCCGACGCGCGGTCGAGTACAAATTGGCGGTCAGACCATTCATTCGCATGTGTCCGAAGCTTTCCGTAAGATGGGCTACTGCCCTCAGCACGACGCTCAATGGAAGAACGTCACTGTCAGGGAGCACCTTGAGTGCTATGCTGCTATACGCGGTGTGCCTCAGTCCGATGTCGATAGGTCGGTACACGCGATCCGTCTTCTGCACGTAATACATCGATTTATGACCATGCAAGCTAACGATGTATCGATGTGTCTCAGGATCATCGACATGTATCTCACTGGTCTACAAATTCACGAGCACGCCGACAAGCGAACTCAAGAATGTTCCGGTGGAACGAGAAGAAAATTGAGCTTCGCTATGGCCATGATTGGTGGACCCAAAGTCGTCCTCATGGATGAGCCCAGCACGGGTATGGATCCTCGCTCGAAAAGGTTCCTCTGGGACACGATCCTCGCCAGTTTCCAGGTAAGCGAATTGCATCGTCAGTCATCCGCCAGCCCGCGACAATCAACTTACAAAATGGAATCGCATGGGCAGGGTGGTCGGGGAGCGATCCTGACTACGCACTCGATGGAGGAAGCGGACGCGCTTTGCTCGCGCGTCGGCATCATGGTGAAGGGTGAGCTTCGCTGCATCGGCTCGACCCAGCATCTGAAGAATCTCTACGGGGCTGGCTACACGCTGGAGATGAAGCTCCGCGGTGGCGACAGTACGCCGACGACGCCGTCGGGTAATCGAGTCAGCTGCCTCAAAGACTTCGTCACGTGTATGTTCCCGGACGCTAAACTCGAGGAAAGCTTCGCCGATAGACTTGTGTTTAGCGTACCTCAACACTCGGTGCAATCTCTGGCTGAATGCTTCGTTCAGCTTGAGAAAGGTACACGGAGTCATTCGCGACAGTTGCGCAACGATCCTCAACGCTTTTATTTTTTATTTTTCAGCCAAAATCGATCTGGATATCGAGGAGTACAGTTTCAGTCAGACCACGCTGGAGCAAGTGTTCCTCAAGTTCTCGCACGCAGAGACCGATGCGGGTGAATGAGGGTTGTGGAGATGCAACGCCGAGGCTCAGCCTTATGAGTCCACGGTGTTGTGATTTAGTGGCAATACCAGCAACATTGGCGAGTAAGCTTCAAATCCTCGCAGAACAAAAACACCATATACACTGACACTTCACTCTCAACTTTGTATTTTTTTCGAGTCGTCAATCGATTATTATACGTAGCTGTATTCGTACATTTCTTTTTTCTACATCATTGCAACGTACTTATACAATAATCCAGTCTTTTGTTATTCCGTTCTGCTTTTTTTCGAGAAAAATGCAAATAACGGTATACATTGAAATGCGTTCACGTTGGTGAAATACCTCATGAGTTGTAATTCTGCATGGTTAATGTGTTTCTTGTAAAGAGTAGACGAAGCTGATTGTTGTATTTTGAGTCCTGTGTAATACGTCGGCGATGTAAATCATTGCGAAAAACGTCGCGAAGTTCTTGTCGTCTTGCTTCGTGGCTTTTCACTTACAATTAGTATAAATGTACTCATTAACGATCATACGCGGCTTCGTCATTGATAATTCCAAAGGATTGATTGAAAAGTGGTTTGAAATTAGATCACGAAAAAATGAAAGAAAAAAACTTTGCATGTAAATAAACTTTGTTATCGCGTTGATCCTTAAGATTCAACGTTCTTCGATAATCATATATTTATATATATATATACTCATTAAGATGATGACTCGTAACGTGGTTAACTAGATTTTTCATTTTTTTAGACACAACAAAAAATGACATCGTTTGATAATAAAAAAAACAACAAAATAAAGCAAAGGCAAAATCTCAATTAAATACATTTCAAAAGTCGAACTATAATCAATTCAACAAATGTTTCAACAAAAGATATCAATGAAGAAATTGTTTGCATGTTTAAACATGGATAGAGAATGTGAGTGATTCACTTACATTACATATTTCTAAAGTGCAATATACATATTTGCATCGACGACAATGGAAGATTTACACAAGAGAGTAATCAACAAAAACAAAGTAACAATACAATTATAATAGTGCAATTATTCCACTACTTCCTCATACTTTTTTCGTACAAAAGTATAGACACCAGTAAATAATGACATTCAGACTTTTTCCCGCAGATTAGCTCGGGCATACACTATCAATGAACAAAAAAACAAACGCGCTTTTAAGAATTTTTAACTAACGTAAGAAATATATGACAGCTTTTATGACAAAATTCAATATTATTTTATTATTAAGATTAAGTTTGTAGAACTTAAGTTTTTATGTACATATTTGTATACAATTCTTACAAATAAGAGGAAATTGCTCTTCTGTAGGCTGGTGATTAGTATCAATTGACCATCAGAATATTGTAAAATAATATAAAAAAATAAGTATATATGAACTTTTAAACGCGGATATAAGCGACTTTCATTTTTATTTTGCCCGAAGATATTCAAAGTCAAAAGTCTGAAACGGGAAAAAAACCTTACTCGAAAATAAACACAGTGACTATCTATGTCAGTACAGTGCGTTTTCCCGTCAAAACTTTTGTTAACTTGTTTCACGGCTAGTATAACAAACAAATAATTCTAGCTGACCGATATATTTACATACTGACGTGAAAGACACAAAAATAAAAGGATTTATATTGAAAAAATATAAAAAGAAAATCACTAAAGAACAAAGAAAACAAAAAACAATTTTGGTCGCACTGTGAGCGTCTCGATCAATTGCAATGATACACTGGATTATTAGACTTCTTAGTGATTCACAATGAAGTAAGCTTGCACGAGATGCACTTCAGTCAGCAGCCTACACCGAAGATTAATATACAAGCTTCTAACCGAAGATTTATGTATCGGTGAAACGATAAAAACTCTAATGAGTGAACAATGTTTTTACGCTCTTTTCTCACCCACGTTACAAAACAGTGCAACTTGGCGGAAATGCAAAAATAATTGATTGGCACTTACGGGTTTATAATATTCAATGCAATCATAAACAAGTAGAAAAAAACTCAATTTCGTTAATTGTAGTTCGCGCAAGTGCTAGTCAGGTACTCGCAAGCATTTGCTTACATATGTGCACGAGAAAGCGGCAATCGAAACGGCGTTCTAAACAAAGATTCCGAGTAAGAGAGTGCGAGAGAGAAGGAGAGAGAGAGAGAGAGAGGGGGGGGGAGAGAGAGGGAGTACCGAGATATGCATTTTTGACTGAACAAAATAGTTTGTAGACGATGATAAAAAAATAGCTAGAAAAAATTTCAAATTTTGTCACAATTACAAGTCAAACGTGTTTTTTTGCAAATGTTTATGTGTGTGTGTGTATATATACATATATATATACATATATATATATATATAATAAATGATGTTAGATAATAATAATTAAGGAGTCATGTTGAAAACCTGTGTGATGTGAAATAAAATCAGCAGCAAAGAAATAGGAAGAATTGTAAACAACTGTAAGATGTAATGTCGGTGTGGCGGTGTAAGTGAAAAGCAAAAACCAAAAAACGAAACAAAGAGCAAAAAAATAATTTAGTCAATTATTATCAAATCACATGAGATAATTTTAGCGGAAGGATTGTTATGTATGTACGGTTGACTCGTTTATTTATTATTCTACGACGTCACGTAGTCTGTAAGCTTCTTATACGGATCTCAGTTTTTCCCCCTTTTTGTCGCTTTATAAGCAGATAAGTGTGATGGATATTATATCCCCATACTGCTTAATAATCAAGCTTGTCGAGTTTTGTAATTTCTTGGTTTTTTTGTATCGACAAAAAAAGCAACTACTTATGAATATATTTTTACTGCACTATAACGGGCACGTGATGAAAAAATCCACGAGGTATCATCAGCTTTAATAATGCGAACGAAAACTCGAGCAGGAATATAAATTGCAGAGCTATAACTGCAGTTCATACTCGGTTTCATTTTTTATTACAAACTATTAAATGAATAAAAATAACAACAACTTGGAATCATGATATCATCTCAGGCCAGTACGTATTTGTTAATGCGAATTGTATGTAAAATCAGTTGTTTAAAGAAACATGCTTTTTCACTAATAAAATTTATCGGAAACCGAAAGATGTGGCAGTTTCTTTGCTTTATTATGCCCACACCTTTGTCTACATTTCAGATATGAATTTATTCAGAAAAATAAAAAATATATTTTTGATTCAAGAGTCAACTAATATTAACTAATGTAATGAAGATTTCTTGCATACCTACTTCTGGAATAGACCACAAGTTCTCTGTATTTTCTATGGCTGCAAAGAAATCCTAATGGTTATATATAATATATTTCAAGTGATGAATATATACGTGGTAATGTATGCGTTTGTAAACAGTTTGACCTTAAAAATATTCTGAAGGAATGTATTCATGTTTGTTTAAAAATTGTTGTAATCGTTTGCTTTGAAATGGTCAGAAAACAAGAAAGCAATAACAATTAGCTAGTTAAAAAATACATTTGATTAAATGGAAAGTACGTTTCCTACTTCAATATTTTAAAGCACACTGTCTCAAAAAATGAAGATCTAAGTTAAATCATACTTTATCAATAATATTAGAAAACGTTGATATCAACCGAAATCGGCACAGATTGCTTGCAAAATAGCTCATTAAAGAATAAACCGACAGAGTTGAAAATCAGTAGAAGCACTCAGAATTAAGTCAGCCGTCCCGCTAGCAGATGAATTAAGAATGTCGCTTGGAGAAACAAATCAAGGGTAGTACTTATCACTGTCTCGACTCAATATCTACTAATTGTAAGTATCAGTATACAATGATTATCGGATTGCCGCCAAACATCCGTTCGAATGTTTCTTCTCTGGCGTTCGGCGTTGAGCGTTGAGCGTTTGAAGGCTTTCCGCACGAAGTTGTTTGTCCGTGATGTCCTATCGAGGCTTGCTTGGTAGTGCAGGGTAGAGCGGTTGGTTTACTTTCGAAATTTTCATGAGACACAGATAGCATTGTCCAAGTCTGTGTGTGTACACTTGTATAAAGTGGCAGTGAAGCTCCGCATCTGCTCCGCATGTGCTCCGCAGCTGCTCCCCCACGCGCACGCAATTCTATATCTTGGAAGCATCTCACGCGGAGTATAAAACTTTAAAATAAAGCCGCGCAAGGGGCCGTTAATGCTACAGAGCTAAAAAATACGAGACTTGGTAAGCGTATAATGGGCTGCCTCCATAAGTCACGCAGTCGTGAAGGCATAAAACGAAAGAGAAAGAGAGCCAGGCCAATCGAGTGCCTTGGCATTTCATTATCGAGCAATCGATAGGAGGAGGACTTCGCTGCCCGAGTTTTGGCTTTTATTTGTCCCACCCTCGTGGGAAATGTAAAGAGACTTTTGAGAGACAGACCGGCAAATGGGAAAATGGATAAGCCAGCTCGCGAGATTTTTTCTTTATTTTTTGAGGGCTTCGACGCATTTTCATATAAGTTTTTGTTTGCCTGCTGCAAAGCGCTGCGCTGCAGTCGTAGTTGAGGCCGCTTTTATAAAGTTTTTATTAATCTTTTACGGGCGGTTCTACTTTACGCTCGAAATATCTCGCGCCTCGGGATACACTTTTTCCACGGGATTTATGTTTGCTTTTCTTGCTCTCTTTGATTAGTCACCGGAATTCTCTAGGTCTCTCTCCCTCTGACCAATTCTTTGCTTTATCCTATTTTTCATGCTTGAACTTGCAACCGAGAGAGCCTCGTTGCGTTCGTCCCCCCGTGTGTTTTTTATTGTTTTTCAAGCTCTCGTTTTAGCTCTTTTCACACAAGTCTATAGTTGGTATAACGAAATCGCCGGTTCGGTTACGTAGATGACGCGCAGCCCCTAGCTAAAGTCGAACGAATACGAATACTTTTCTTTCGAGGAACCTGTAAAAGGAAGAGCCCGTGGGTCGGGTATTTGGATTATACCTGCTGCAGGATGCTGCAGCAGCCCTGCCCGGTGTATGCGACGTGGCGCGCAAATGGACGCATGATGGATGGATACGGATTTGCTCGTTGACATCCGAAGGATTTGGTATCACTTGTTGTTCTGCACAAGCACGAGGAGAGCAAGCTCACGCGTGGTAAACGCTCGCAACGAGAGTGTTGGCTGTGAACGAACGGTGACTGCCTGCAGGATTGGAAATCTCTCGGCCCATTAGATATGAGTGGGCGCAGTGGTTGGAGTCACGGAAAGCGACGGGTCAATGATCAGTAGGCGGGCAACCTGCCGGGCTTGAAAGTGGCCAGGGAGGAGGCTGAGCGATCGATCGATCGCCGCGGCAATTCGGACGAGTGGCAGACCTCTAATTTCGAGCTCGATCGTGCGACACCCGCTGGCCTTAGCTTGACTGCTCGTCAGAGCAGAGGAAGAAGAAACGACTGACGTCAGCGAGCGGCCAGCTCTTTTGCCGCCTTTGTTAGCGCGTGCGCTCGCGATAACCCAGCTAAGCCTCGGGGAGTCGGCGAGCGCGTTGCGCGATTGACGCCAGAGAGCTTCGGGCGTCAATCGCATTTGTTGTGCTGTATGCTGTATATGTCAGAGTGTCAGAGCCCCTGCTAATGACGCTCAAGTTGGCCTGTTCGGCCAAAGTTCATGCCGCTGCGTTCTCGTCGCGCTCCTCGTCCTTTTTGCCTGCTTCCTCTCGCGCGGCTCTTTGGCGGTCTGCGGTCGGCGGCTTCTTTTTTTATACGTGTCCTTTCGCAGCAAGTTCTGCTGGGCGCTGCGCTTTCCAAGTGCCGGCTGTCATAATATTTTCGCTGAAAGTTTTATCAGGGACGCTTTCTTTCTCCTCCTCCTGGCTTGGAAGCGTGCGCGCGGGGATTTCCTTTTCATCCGACTTCTCCCGAGCCGTAAGCAACCAAGGATCTTTCTATTTTACAAAATTTTTCAATTAGCAAAGTTGGCAAACAATTGCCGAGACATTTCCAAGAAGCAGCTCCCGACGGAAACAAGCGTTTATTCGGAATAGATGCCGAGCTATCAAATGTGCAAACGGAAATGTGTCGGTCAACGTAAGCCGATCAATGCTCATCTATGCATCACATAATTCAAATTCCCCGAGTTACAGTAGCACTACAACTTGCTCCTCGGATAGCGTATAAATGGACCTACGTCCAAGATGTACTTATAAATCAATCAATATTTATTTGGAAGCCCTTCGCTTAATTAATTGCTCTCGCAATCGGGCTAACTGCTTAAATATTACGCATTGCTACTTATTAAATTGCTACAAGTAGAAATTCGATCAAGTTCCTTTCAACTCGCAACTCGGACTTGACTATCGTATACCGAACATAATCAGTCTTAGTCGCATTTTAGCATATTTATCAACAGATCCTTCGGATTTGATTCGACAATTTACTTTGATTCTTTGTTGAGTGCAAGTAGTGTCCGTAATGAAATTAGCCAGTCATGTTTTTCTACTGTGAAATTGAAAGACTCAATTGGAATTCCCGAACCCATTGAGTTGACGAGCAGTACGTTGAGTTCGCAACAATTGAAATATGTTGACTGAATGGCTAAAAGATACCAGCAGAAATATGAGTCGGCATTGTAAAAGGACTGATTACCTGGGGAAACAATGGAGCAAAGATAAATCCATCAACATAATTTAAAGATTCATTAGTGTTTGCCAGCAATAGAGGTTTGTTTTCGCTGTCGGGTCGAAAAATTCGAACTGCACACGGACACATAGGTCTCGACGAAAGTACGACGTCGCGCGTTGTCTGTCTCTCGCGGAACTCTTTAATTTATCACGAGCATTGTTGGATCGAGTGTTTTCTAGCTTAATGGACAAGCGCAGATGAGAATTGGTATAAACAGCTCCGGCGCGCGCGATAATGAGAACAAAGCGTAGACAGGACACTTTGTCCGTGCGAATTAAAAGTCCGAATGCTTACGCTCGGGCCAACTTTCCAATTGCATTTGCGCGAGAAGCGACGACACTATCTGCTATTCCTATATACCATCTCAGCCTCCTGCTCTTTTCATTCGCTCTCGCGTGAAAAGACTTTTGTGCTGGGCTCGTCGGCCCCGCCGATGCCAGTGAACAACAGGAAGAACAGGACCGAGAGGCTTCTTCACCGCTCGCGACAAAGTTGCCGCCTCGTTTTGCTCGATTATCGTCCGACTTTGCTTTCTTTCCGACTCACTTGTTCGGCAGCTTGCGTTTTCGATCGTTAAAGCGTACTTGTTGGCGGTGAATTCGGCTTTGCACAGACCCCTGCTCCACTTAGCATCGCACACTACAAACATTTAAGTGGCGTGTGACTTGCCGATTCGGCTGTTTCTTTTCGTCAAATTCTTTCTTCCGTTCGTCTCATTGATATTCGCAAGCTTGCTTGCTACGCAAAACTCTCATCAAGTTGTTCATTCTAAATTCGTGCTGGCCAGTCTAGACATGTTTTATCAATAGCCACCGAATGTTGGTCTAGACGTTACACGAGATCGCACATCATACAAAATGGACAAAATGAAGTCCGTGATCGTGCATCCAAATGAATATAACAGACGGTCACGCGTTCGACGCGAGCTTTTCCGTAGGCAATTAGTGGCTAGGAAAGCAACCGCTCGCATCGCTTGAATCCGTCGTACAAGGCAACAAGGCAATAAGGGAGACAAGAAGGAAGGCAGGCTCTCCGCGCGTGCACGCGCTTTCTTTGAAGTGGCCTCTCAGCTGGATTAGCTGCAGCACATCTCGCCGCCAAGGGAATAGCGAGCGGCTATCGGCGCACACAGCTGGTCCTTCTCTCTGCGCCTCACACACTGCATCTTCAGCGAGTCGACGAGTACAGGAAGGCTACAGTTTAAGGTTGTTCGTGCGTGTAGAGTGGAGGACCGCGTTCACTCAGGCGCTCAGCCAAGTTTTCGAGCAGCCAACAGGCGGATAGGCCGACAAGTTGAGCTCTCGGGCTTCGACGCGTGGGCAACGTACGGGTAATAGGCTTTGCTGCATGCGCACATGTGCAACAATTGTGGGTGAAACACCTCGTGGTAAGGTGGTAAGGAGAGCAATGTTTTATGGAGGAGGTGCGCGATGCTCGCGGGCTCGCGGGCTCGCGAGCTCGCGTTATAAATGGCCATCGTCGAGTACTCGTACGTAACGCGAGACGAGGTGGATTGCGCGCGAGACCGTGCGCCGGGAAATAGATGCGACGGCTGGGGCTTGGCATTAAACAGAGGCGAGAGAGCTTCGGTCCGGAAGCCGTCAGTAAGCGCAGCGACGCCCGAGCGCCACGGCAGCGCGCGAGGCGAACAAAGGCCTCCCCGCGCGGGCCGCGAGTGAGGGCGCGAGTGCGCGAGTGCGCGAGTGCCCAGGCGGCGGCAGAGCGGCACTGCGCAGCGGAGGGCGGCGGGTGCGCGCGCACGCGTACGCCGCCGTCGGCGCTGGCCGGCGCTGGCCGGCGCGAGAGGAGGCACTGCACCTGCATCGGCGCTGGCGCTGGCGGTGCCGGCGGCCCAGTTCTCGCCAGGCAGGCACGCCCGGCCGGCGTTGGTCTACCCGGCCGCGCCGCCCGTCACCCGCCGTGCATCGCCGCGTCCGCGAGCAGCACTGCGATATTATGAGCCGCCGGCCCGCAGCCGAGCTGGAGCTTGCGCGCGAGCGCCTCAGTGGCATCCTCGCCAGGGCGCGCAAGCTCGACGTCAGCACTGACCGAGTGCTCGACAGCAGGCCCGCCAAGCGGCTGATCGCTCGAACCAGCGGCCTGCTCGGCGGCAGGTGCGCCGTCGGGCTCGGCCTGCTCTGCCTGGTCGTCGCCGCGCTCTGCGTCTACGCGAGGTGGCCGACCTTGCAGGACACCGACACCGTCAGGACCGTGCTCAGGAGAACGGTGAGCCGTCGCACTGCCCTTTCCCGATAGCCCGTCCTGCTTCCCCGAGCCGCCGCATTATCGAGCTGTTCGTCGATGCGCCGGCCTGCGCTAGCTGCCGACCGATCGCCAGTCCCGTTCCAAGGCCGAGACCATCGATTCGCACAGCCGCGATTCCTAGTGCCTACGCACAGCTAACGGACAAAGCTGCCTGGCACTACGAAGCAGTTGCGCGCTAATTTATACGACGCGCCGGCGTGCATTTAGAGCAAGTCCAATGCGCTCACGCGAGACATTACTCCGTCGTTGGGCGAATGCTCGGAGTAACATCATTGTTCTCCCGGAACACTCGACAAAGTTGTTTGACGCTAGACTTATCCGAGGAACCGATGGCAATCGTCGGCTATGGCGGGACAGGGCAGTCGTCTACGCGATCGAGTTGTAAAAACCAGAGAGAGAGAGAGAGAGAGAGAGAGAGAGAGAGAGAGAGAGAGAGCGCCGAGGCGCGCGTACGCGATAGTGCACGTACAACACGTGTGTTTACAGACTGCGAGATTTGCACAATGCGCGCGCTATCTGCGAGCGAGAGAGGGAGCAAGCAGGCGAAAAGTCCTCGCGAGCCGCTCTGGATCTCAATTAGGATAAACAGTGCGCTCGGACCACGCTAATTTTTCTCTCCTCCCGCGTTGTCGATCGATCGCTATTATACGAGTATATGTGGATTTTTAATTTCTCTCGCGCCGAAGGATCGAAGAACTCACGGGCGCTCTGGAATTATCGATGAGATTCGTGAGCAGTTTTCCTAATCGCACAGTAGACTTCATTTATTCAAACTTGCCCAGACTTTTTCGATCATTAGCATTCATAATGATATGGCGAATCGATCGTTTGAAAGCTGCACCCACGCCCACGTTATTCTTCGACAATTCGCGTACAATCAATTATCGTGACTGCTAATGCATGATCGAGGCCCGCTAAAATCAATGCTAACGATTAATAATCATCTCGCTCGTTACCCTTGTCCGATTTAATAAAGGCAGTGACTGGCACCGTGTTCGCGCAACCCATCTAATCCGTCAGCCAGTTATAAATTGCTCGTTCGCGGGCGCGACAAAGGGCACCGAATTTTCGCCCAAGCCTCGCGCACGCATCACTGACGTCTCTATATGCTGGCTTCTTTTTTCACACCTTGCAGCATCTACCTTTTTTATTAGATAGATTGCCAGAACGAGATTGAAAAAATGCAAGACGAGGAATATTCATGGAGAAGAGAAGTTGGCAAGCTCGCGCGCTGTGCCCTGGAGGCAGAATACGCGGATACTTGATCGCGTTGACTTTGAAATACATAGCTGACAGCTCTCTCTCCCTCTCTCTTCCTCCCTGCCCCGCGCTATATACGTGCGTCAGCCTCCGGGCGGTAGACTCGTTTGTGATTTATCTTCTCTCGGTCTCGCCGTTCTTTCTCGCGCGGAGAGAGCGAATTGCGATTATTCCAGGAAATTGTTGCTTGTTTGACGAGGGATGCTCGTAATTGTCGGAAACGGCTGTATTCGTTAACGCAATTGTTCCTCGATTAAATGCAAATATGAAACGTGCGTACGGAAAGATGCGTGAATGAGGCTCTCCAGACGAAAACATTCAATTATAAATTATAAATTACGTTTTTATATGTGGCTAATTCTTCAATGATTCCAATTCAAATTAAAGTTTGAAATACTCACTTGTTCAAGTAGAAGTTACTATAAAATTTTTGTGTTTACCACACGATTGTACCAAACGGTTTTGAATCTTCTTACGAAGTACATTTCTTTCTTCTTGGTTTCATATTTTCATATTTTTTAAAACGCATGTTAATTGCAACTGTAAAGTGACATGAAATACTTGAGAAATCATGGCACCCATATTTGAAATTACTGGTTTTGCAATCTAAATTAAGCTGCCAAGAATCCAGAGTAATGTCATGATCGTGACCAATGCGTAGAAAACCGAGAAAAGTCAAGATTTTGGCATAACAAATTAAGATCTGGTGTAATCGTCTGGTCGACACAAAAATTCTATAATTGATCTCACTTGCTCAGACTTATGTTTGAATATGAATATAAATAAACCTGAAACACAAGTGACACAATCATTGATCCCCACGAAAAACTGTAGTTTTATTTTCGTTCTGACTGATTGAAAGTAGCATTTGGTGAAAGTTGCAACGAATGATTGACCACTAAACAATATGCTGAGTTTTTATCGAAGGAAAGGGAGGGGGTGTGAGGATTGTAACAAACCGCGTGCCACAATTACACGTACGATCAACAGGCACTCGAGACTCGTGTAACGAAGACTTGGCTGCTGACGCGGGCGTGGTTGCAGCCGTTTAATTATGTATGTAAATTACACGACGCCTGCACGACTCGGCCGCTCTCGTCAAGCCTACGCCACGTACACAGATCCCTTCTCCGTCCTTTTTCCACGTCAAAGTAGCTCATCGACCGGATTTCACTTGCGAATTTCTAATCGATTTCGCCGCTACGACCAATTATACGAGAATCCCGCTTGGCGCGGGCATATTTCAACACGACTGGATTGGCATTGGATCAGAAAGAGAGGGAGAGACGAAGAGAGAGAGAGAGAGAGAGAGAGAGAGAGAGAGAGAGAGAGAGAGAAAAGAGAGGACAGAGAACAATGAAAAATGTCACGTCCGTAATGCATCCATCAGTGACACGTATCTGTCATCGTTCCGTTAATAGAGTGCTTCGCGTTACAGTCGCACTGACTGATCTACCAATTCACAAAAGTTTATGGGATTTACATTACATTTAGAATAAAGTCAAGTGGGCGTGCAGGACTTGGCTCGTTTAGAAAACGACCTGGACGACTTTCTTTCGACTCATTAATATTCACGGGAAGCCGTAAAATTACAAATAACAGCTGGACCAAGCAAAGGAGCGAGCGATTCCAGTCACGATTATGTGCCTTCAGATCCAAAAGCTCACTCGACTGCGCGACCTCCTGCTTTTCATTAACATCTAGTTGCCCCGTGACGCTTTATGTACTTTATTAATGAGCCAGACGCGACACCTCTATAATGCTACGATTTTCTTCTTGACATTTCACGAAAAGCGGCTTCATTCCGGAGAAAATACGAAAATCCCTTATGACTTTGTGTATAATTATAGTCTTGACAAAGTCGATTATAAAGCTAGCCATAAGATTCTAAACTGAAATTCACAAGTGTATTATTCAACTAGTCCGACTGAGTTCGTGGCCTGCTTTATATTTGTATCGAATTTTTGCCGCCTCATCTGATAATTTAGTCGACACTCTGATATTCCAAAAATATCACTGGAATAAGCAGCGATTCGTCTGCAGTCATTAAATATCGATAGAGCTCTATCGTTAAACCAGTTAGTCTGGAGATGCAGGTGGTTACGTAGTAAAATTAGAGAATTACAGGCGAAAAATTGGCTACGCAGGCGCGTTATCAGTCAATTGCCACGGTCTCGATGAGCATCTCTTAGAGCGTAGTTATTAAATAAGTATGAGTCATCGACGTAAAAAAGTATGGTCGATCGGAGCTTTTCCTTCTCTGCCGAAGAACAGAGTCAGACGGTAGTTTGACGAAGCGTGGCAATGGGCGATATCAAGGGGACGAATATTTTTCATTTTTTGTCATTCCTCCTGGCGAATCTCCTTTTTATGAGCAAAGTTTATTCTCTCTGGAGCTCTCTGGAAAGGGAGTAGTACTCCTTATATAACATTTTTTTAACCTCTGCTTCTTTTATAGCGATATACGCCTCCACCAGCCCTGATGCGACTGGCTTTGCTTGGAGTTGGGGGACTTGATGGAATTCATAATTGGCAGTTTGCCTTGAGGAGAAGTTTTTCATGATATTTTGCGATTTCTCATAATCGAGGATGATTCCTTTCTCGAGGAACGTGCGCTAAAGCCCATCGATCTTGCATCACTAGCGTGCTTAGCTTTTATTTCTTCTTTTGCCGTCAAGTCGATTTTCAAACAGACATACGAAGTAAAATCAAATTCCGCGTTGATCAAATGTAATTGGAAGTTTTTCGATTGACTTTGCACTTGTACTCTTCTAATTAGATTTAAATGAACATACGTTGCAAATAAAAGCAATTACGGCTTATTAATCATGTTCATTTGCATTTCTCTCTGGAATTTCAAATAAATCAGAAATCTCAACTAGGTAACAAAAATATTGTTAGCTCAACTCGTATTAATAGATAAATGCTCTGTGATACGAGTTTATGGTCAATAAAAACTGATATATTTAAATAAAAATTATAACATTTAACCTAAACATGTTACCGAATCAATGTACCGAATACTTATTGGTACATTGAGGTTTTTAGACGGCTTGGAGCTTGCAGCGCAAAATTGAAATAAGCCAGCTTGTAAATATCATTTAATATTAGCGTTGCATAAATACTTCTTGCAAGTGAAATAGTCGAAAGAACAAGCTTTAATAGCGCGTAAATACGCATTGAGAAAATGATCTGTTAACTTATGGAATCGCTTTTTCAACACAGACAGAAAAAAATTAATAAAATAATCGATGGAACGAAGATTGCTGCGCGACCGAGCAGTCTTTACTGCCGGACGGTCATACTCGTAAGCTTTAGAGTTCGGGATTGCTGCTCGTGTCGTCGCATCTGCCTAAGCGACTCGTGCGCGTGGCGCCGCCGCCGGACCTCGGCTATTTCGTTTCATACTCATGATGGCACATCGGCACCGCTTCACCCGCTAGCTCTTTTTCTACTTTCTCGCGCGCAACCACCTTATCGTTATCGCACTTATCTCCATTAGCTCGACACGCTTGAAAGTCATTGCTCGCCAATAAATTAGCTACCCACTTGATAATTTTTGGCAAGCTTCGTGTAACTGCTGCTCGTTTACTCGAGCTACCATTCTGAGCCTGTAACGTTTCTCAGTTCTCTTAGAGGGACGGAGAGAGAAAGAGGGAGACAGAGGTACCCTCGGTAAAAATCTCACAAGTTTTCAAATT